AAAGATTTTTTACATCTCAGATGCATCCGATGTGGATTCTCAAACGCAGCAACTGTAGATGATGATGATTCATGATGAAAAAAATAGGGTTATGATTTATGATAAGATAGATGACAGTAAGAGTACGATTAAAAACAAAAAAATTGGATTAAATCCATTAAATAATCGAAACCATCCCAACTATTTGGTTGTTGATTAAAATTATCCTTAGATAATAACAGTGCAAACTAGATTAATACTGTGGTATGCCATTATATCAATTTTAAATATTCTGACGAACAAAAGTTACCTAATTTTAGTTAATAAATTATATTTAATTCATTATTGATAAGAAATGAGCAGTTGGCAGAGTGCTTGTGTTGAAATAGGATTTAAGGATTTTGCATCGATATGCAGAGTTTGTTTCGCTAAAAATAATTTAAGAAATTTGCAAGAAGTGGAGTACCTTGTTGATGTCTTACAAAGTCTGACAGATACTGAGGTTTGTTCTACATCCTAATATAATTACATCTAATATATTATGAATTCTGGCCTTCTAAGCATATATTGGAGGTAATATTTTCTTTGTAAATGTTCAACTCTAGCGTGATTATTATCTATAGCAAAAATGCATGTTTTACATTCAAAATTCATGCTTAAAAGGGCAGTATTTGTATCTAGGGTAGTACTATTGTTTTAAAATACCTAGTAATGACTGTCTTTGAATTTTAGATAGTTGAGAATGATGGATTGCCACAAAACATTTGTGTCAACTGTATCAAAAAACTGGAAGATATTTCAGATTTTATTGATTTATCCAAATACAATGATACAGTTTTGAGACAGGTCTATTTAACTCAATTTAATTTAAAAACCAATACAGTTATCTGGGCTTCTGAAAACGATGTTAAAAATAATGAAAATACAGAAGTGGAAACAAAAGAGGAAACTATCTCTGAAAATACTGCTACATCTGATAATAGTAATAGTGATAATACATTTTTAAATTTAATTACTTGTGAACCAGAAATTATAGAAGAGGAAGGTGAAAATGAGAAGGAAAAGTCCCATGATGAACATACTACGGAATCTGATGGGTCTTCCTATAGGGAAAATGATCTAAAAAGGAAAAGCCATCATGTACGCTGTACACTGGTATGTTATTACCACCACCATCATGTTGAGATTCAAAATTGTGTTGAAATGTATATGAATGTAAAATGCTTTAGAAAATTAAATATTCAAAATTTAAATAATATAAAAACCAGTCTTATTATTGGACTCTACTGATGTTTATTTTATTTATAAGGAGATTTTTGAAACTTGTGAAACTGTAATTAATAATATTGTTCCTATGAAAAAGTATCAAATCAAAATTGCCTTGGTTTCTATGAGGTAGACATTGGGGGTAAAGTATTGGATTGGTTTAGTAACTATTTAATCAATCGCAAGTAAATAGTCCATTTTGCTGACTAAACATCATATAATAACTATAACCGATGATAAATAATGATATGGGGATTCCTCAAGGTAACATATTGAATCCTCTACTTTTTATTTTATTCATTAATTATATTGATATTTATTAATCTTTATGCTGATGATACATTTATTAGCTTGTAATAATGCAAATTTGGCTGAAGCCATAGAGAAAATGAATGCTTCATTATACAATATCTGTCATTAAAATATTATAACAATTGACATAAAGTCCCCACACTTTTCTGCAATAAAATAATTTTTTGTTTTCTACTTTTTAGTTTGCTTTTCTAGTTTTTTAAACTATTATTTATTAAGACTACTGTATTGATGTTATATTTTAGGTTGGATACAATGCTGAATATGTCAGACATCGAAGAGAACAAAATAGGAAGGCAGCTGCCAAAAGTCGAAAGAAGTTCAGAGACCAGGTGGCGAATCTTATGAAAACGACAGAGTATTTGGAAAGGGCCAATTCTTTCTTGAAAAAACAGAAACATGATTTAGAAGCTGAATCCATTGGTTTAGTTGAAGTGCTAAGTAAATTTAAGTGTTCAAAACAGCATGTTGTTAAAGTTAAAAAGGAAAAGAAAATAACATAGTGTTTAAATCTAATTGTTGTATTCAAAAGTTGAATTTATTAATTGGTCATAATGTATCTAAATCAAAATGTGATGCGGATTTTAATTTTGGGAGATAAATTAAATTGTATTTCTATTTTTTTTAATATTGTTTGCTGATCAAGGATGGTTCGAAACAGAATTTTCGGAGGGGGCCATAAACCATTTCCTTTTCAACATATTTTTTTATATAAAGTCTCTTGGATTGTAACATTTTACACTCTCCCATATTAAACTTTAAAATTATTGATTTTTCTTTTGAAATTTGCATAATTAGATTCAGCTTTATATTTAATTGTTGTTTAATTTTTTAGAAAATGTATATTATTTAATATTTTATACACCACTTTGGTGTACCTGTAAAATGTATTTAAGGAACCATAACAAATACTTTTTGTTTTGTTATCTAGATATATTTATGTTTAAATTACTTTGTCACCATAAGATGTTTATATTAAATACATGGTTTTTGTTTTTAATAAAGCATGTAAAAAATATGAGTTTCTATTAAAAAATTTAGGCAATCCAAACAAAATGGATACCAGTGGGCTTTGACAGGTTATGATATGGCAACCCTGTAGGCCTGGTGATTTGACAGGGTCAATGATAAAGTTAGTTATATAGATTGATCATCCATGTCTTCAAAATAAACAAGCTTGTCTTGTAGTGAAAATGTAGGTAATTATCAAAATTCATCTGTAACGTGTGGAGAGTGGGTTACCCCACGGCACTTAGGCCTCATTAGGCCAATTGTGCATCTTCCTGAGAAGATAGGCACCTCCTAGCTGGTGAGCCAGCCTACAGATTTGACAACACGTCGCCAAGAGGTGCTTCTCTTATATCGGCCGATACTCGCCGAACACAAATCTAATAAATGAGAGGATCGAGCAATCATAAAGGATATGCTCGATGGTCTCATCTTCTTGTTCGCACCCTCTGCAGAGTGCGGATTCTGACAGCCCCATGATATGGAGATGCTTTCGTACTTGACAATGACCAGTCAGAATGCCTGTGACTAAGCGCGGATTCTGTCTAGTCATAGTCAAGTATTTGTTTGCTGCAGTGTTGTCAGGATAATTTAAGAGCTCCCTGGCAACTCTGTAGTTTCTTGTTTCATCCCATCTTTCCTTGAATTTCACAAGGGAATGTTCTTTGATTAGGTCTGCCAGGTCCAAAAAGTATTTGGTTGGCTGCTTTCTTGGCTAGTGAATCAGCAAGACGGTTGCCTTTCGATATAGCGTGACCTTTAATCCATCTTAAGGTGGCCACGTTGTTGATGGATACTTCGGCCAAAGCTTCGTGACATTCTAGTACATCAGTGTCTTTTTTGACAACGATTTCTCTTTCGGTGGTTATCTTACCGTAAGGGTTATCCTTGTCTATTATAGCTACTTTCAGGTGGTTCGTAGCTGCATCCTTGTAGCTTATCCCAGACAGAACTTTGTGGTCCTGTCTGGGTTTTTTCCCTTCCGGGGCGTTACCATACACCTTAGATTGGGTTAGTTGGTTCGCGGCGTTAGCCTTCGCAAAAGATTTTGAGGGTTTTTAGGCTCTCGCACTCTACTTATGTCTACCACTAACCAAGGGAAACTTGGCCGTCCTCCTATCCACCACCCGGAGACGCTCTCAGTTGGCACTCAACCGCTGAAATTCATTTATAAACACATTTTTACAAAACCAATTCTGATTGAGCACCTGCGAGGCAATATGGCCGCCCGCTTTGAGCAAACTATATAACTATGTAACATTGACCCTGTCAATAACAACAGGCACACAAGAGGCGAGTTCGGTCAGTCAGGGGCTGGAGCGGGACAAATTTTAGGGTGCTTTTAAATGACATTTAAGCGTGTTAAACTGTCACTAATCGGACTAAACCGAACGCTAAAAGAGTCGTTAGGAGTTAAAAGTGTTAAAGGAGTTAAAGGAACGTGGCAAACCGAACGCAATGAAGGTGCCATATCTAAAATTTGTTCCCACTTGTCAGCATTTTGACAGGTCATTGGAATGCCTTTATAAAACAAAATGAGACTCATCCTCCGCCATTTTCTGTCCATAATGATTTGGACCATAACAGAAATCTACTATAAACTGTTACTAGGTTTAGCGGTGCATTCATAGATGACGCCTCTGCCTTTTTTATGTCCATATTTTGAGTTTTGAGCAAAACATGGCTTTGATACTGAAGTGATTTTGGCTATATAATACCAAAGGTCATTTTTAGAGCCCAACATCTTATATTTTTAATTTTAATCAACACTTTCAGCACGTAAAAATTGAAGTAATTAACATTTGGCAAAAGCGCATGTCTCCCTAAATTGGCCTCCACTTACTTGATTATTAGATCACATTTATGCAAAATTGTGACTAAATACGCGAATAGATAAAGGCATATTTAGTAAATAATAAGTAGATATACATTTGTGACAAATGTTAATGTTTACATTTTTTGGACCTAAATATATTTTACCATGGACTTTGAAATACAAAATCTCCAAAAGCTAGAAAGACTGGAAACTATCCTGGAAGACATCGTTGACAAAATTGATAAAGAAATTATCCAGACAGATATAGAATGGATGCAGCTCAAGAATTTTGTAAAAGAAAATGTGCAAAATAATTCCAATACTAAAACTAATGGAAATCAAAATGAACCTGTAATAGAACTAAATATAGACGATACTTTAAACAATGCGGATCTTCAGTTGAGTCTTCCAAAATCCAGTATTGCTGATGGGTACGAAGAATTTGATAGCGATTAAACACCTTTTAATTTTATTCATTGTGTAGATTAGGATAATGACAATTCAGTAAAATTTTCAAGTATTATCTATTATATATTTTTTGTTTCAATAACAGAGTTAACAATGCAATATAGTATATTCAAATATATATATTTAGTTATTTAAATTTCTATTCAGAAGCCTACAATTAAATATTTGTGTAAAAACAATTTATACATAATTTGACTTTGAAAATATAATAAATTACACATTTTTTCCTCACTACTTACTTACTCCGCACACTTAATATGTTACAGCACGAAAACATCAAATAACAAACAAAAAAAAAACATCCCAACAAAACAACAAATAAGTTAAAGCAGAAAATTGGTAATAAAACTATGTATTATCAATTACAAACAAAAATAGTCTTTACTGCATTTATTCCAGTTGATACAAGACACTTGTGCTAACATTTAAGATCATATTTGTTTTCTTTTTTTTATCCTTTATGATAAAATGGTACACTGGACATTTAGGATCTTTTACAAAGTTATCTTGCAGTGATATTGACATTGGACAGCCATATTGTAATAAATGTCATTAGGATGATTTGAAATGTTCTTGGGCATGTCAACCTTTATAGATTAATTGAACAAACAAAGGTGAAAGCAATCATTTTTCATCCTGTAATTTTAATTTAGAAAAAAATTTTAAATCATCTTTTAACACTTTTCTAATTTGGGTCAAGATCCACAAGTACCTACTGTTCTGTATTAATTTTTAAAATTTACAATAACCATTAAACTTGGAAAAACCTCTAAAATCACATACATTGGAGCGAAACGGATGCTAAACTTCACTTTGTTTAAACCATTACTATTGCAACAGAATAAAGATGTAATTACATGTCTTGATTACTGGAATCGGTTATAAGCTCATCGATATAACAACTGAACAGTTTCGAATTTTGTAGGTAGGATAGGGTGGTGCAATTATAGATTGCAATATGCACTTTTATTGTTTAGTTTTTATAGTGCCATCGAAAATAGTTCGGAATACGTGGATGATCGACCTTCATTAGTGTTTTTAATGTATAAACTAAGTTTTTAATAGCTGACAGATGGAAATATATTTATTTTAATTAATACATACAGGACACTCGATGTCTTTATGTGACTCAAATCTTATTAGATTGTATAGAAGTATTCAAATGAAAAAAAAAAAAATGTTTATTCCAATTATTATTATTAAATTTTAAAGTAAACGCATTTTGAATAGAAATTGTGTTTAAGTAGAGTGAATTATATTCTGATGACACCTACCGGCGTGCGTTTCAGCGTAAATTGCAAATTAGAAATAAATTTCTACTTCTCTTTAATATAAAGAGATGATAAAAGAATATTATCAATAGAAAATTTTGAAATTGGCTATATTTTTTTGTACTTAGCTACCTAGAAAAGGATATTTTCTTCAATTTTTTTTTCGACTTTTCCGAAAATTTTAGAACAAGCTTTGTGTGGTTAATTTTTAATAACATTACTAAATTGTTATATTGAAAATATAAGGAAAAACGGTATTAACAAAATATTTGAAAACTTATTTTTTTTCACGCTATTTGACATATATATTTGCTAATATATTACGTTACTTTACAGATATTGACGAAAAGAAACTAAAAAATCTATATTCAAACTAAATCAGAGTTAGGACAATTGAAAACCATTTATGATACTCAATAGTTAAAAATTAATACACAAAGTTTGTTTCACTTATTCCGGACCACCCTATTATGACAAATGACTGTCAATTAGTCTATGATGCTGCACACACACAGGGCAATAGGGATGATGAATATACTTCTAAAAAAATACGCGTAAAAACCGCAAAAATATTCAATCCCATCGATTATATAGTGCAACTTTTTCTTTTCTATTTCTCCATAATATACTTATTTACATTAACTTGATATAAAGACAAAAATAACTATTGATTTCATTTAGAAAACGATTATCTTGAGCTAATGGTTATCTGAAAAAAGGACTCGATAAATTTGAAAATTAACTGTTTGAACAACCCCTGAAAAAAAAAATTGATATACATTTATATGTATTCCAACAAGGAATTCAATAATTACTTCCGCCTAAAACTAAGCGAAACATTCAATGAATCATCCATCATGTGTCTCTCCGAGAAAATTTATTAACATTAGGTACTAAATTATCACTACTTGTTTCGTGTTATTCAAGCACGAACTTCGACTTGCGCTATTCGTCGTCCGTATCGCCCTCGCTCGAATAGTCCTGGATGGGGAGGGGCCGCACGAACGGCGCCGACGTCATTTGCCTGAAACAATCAAATTATATCTCAAACAAAAAACTATACCTACTATTTTTATGCTTCGCCCTTAGTTATAAAGGGGTTAATATTTTGCTAGATTAGATTTTATGTTAAGTAAGGTAAAGTAGGATCAAATTCTTGACAGAAACATTTCAGAAAAATGTACGGAAAAAATTATGATTATCAAAAATACAATGCCTTGCTAGAAAATCAAGATTAGGAAAAATACATCTATAAAATGTTTTATTGAAGTTTTTAAGGAAACAAAAGCTTGTACCATTTCTGTTTCGTTTGTACTTTAATTTGATTTAGTTGACAATAAATATAATAGAAATTTCTTGGAAATTTACTAAATTATTTATCGAATATAGAAGAATTGAATACTTACGATAATCTTCTATAATGGTTCAACCATTCCTCAACCATTTGAGCAACTAATAAAGGTCTTTTATGTAACATTTGTTGCGCTACTAGAATTCCGTTTTCAGTTTCGCACACGTCCAACCATTGGCGTAGGATCGCTTCTTCTCTCCCCAACTAAAAAATCAAACCAAATTACCTCCAATAAAACCGTCTCAGTTAATTACCTCCGATTCCGTTAAGAAATGAATGGGCAACAGCTTTCTATCTCTGTCCATCAAAGGCAAAAACGTGCTGCGCATGTGATCCGGATTCATGTTGCTGTGCTGAAGCGGCGATCTAGAATCGATCCTACTGTAAGGCTCCGTAGGTACCAAAGCCGAAAAATGGCCTCTAGTATAACCCAACGCTATGGGAGTTCGGATACAGAAACTTTGTTCCCACAATAGAGGTAAATAAACTCCTGAAATATATTATTTCTTATAAATAAAAAATAACAAGACAATTTCTTGCTTAAGTTTTTTTTAAATGTGATTCAAAATTGAGAAGTAATGACGAAGAAACACACTCGCCTTCAAATCTGGCGAAACCGATGGCTTCACCGCGGAAACTCTTGACGTATTTGACCCCGTAGACGATAATCGGTCGGCGAAGGACGTGAGCCAAAGCGAACACATGCAATTGTTCGAGACTCGTTCCAGGCTGGTTAGCCAGCGATAGTAAGCTCGTCCAATCTTCCTCCCATTGGCCCTCTTCCAATGAATACTGAAGAAAAGAAGCGTGGCTGGATTCGTACTCCTTCCATCTCGGATAGAACCTTCGTTAAACGATAATAAATTATCAATTGATTTCATCTTTCTAGAATACCTTGCAATTATATAATATAGGTACAACAAAATCGATTGTAAAAAAAATCGATTGCAAAAAAAGGTTTTAAAACAAAATCGATTGTAAAAAAGAATCGATTGTAAAAAAGAATCGACAGTACCATAGAATTAAGTGTAAAAAATCGATTATATAAATGAATCGATCTTACAAAAGTTCGATTGTAAAAAAGAATCGATTGTACAATCGAGAATCGATTGAAAAAATAATCGATTTTAAAAAAGAATGGATTGTGAAAAAGAATCGATTTTATAAAATATTCGATTATGTTACGCCACTGTCGGGAATCCAAGTTCCCAACGCATCGAAGCGGCGTGAGAGGGCGCAGGTATCGGAGCTAGGCGCGAACTACGGTACCAGCGAGAAGGCGAGGGAGCGGTGTGGCAGTTTGTACCCATTCGAGTTCCACAGTAGGCGTGTGTTACATTCAATTAATAATTTTTGGCGATTGGCGTTGTTAATATTTTTCAGTTAATAAAAGTGATTTATTCGGGTGTGGTGTGTTTTATTATACCCGTAACATTTCAGAAGTGGTGATAGTGTTCCCCGTGTTGTGCGGAAAATCATTTTCAAAGGCGATATTGGCGTGATTTCCTGTACTCGTACCGGCGTTTGTGAAATTCCACGAATTTGTAGGCGATAGTGAACAATTTGAATTAAAACGGTGTTGTGGCGATTGGAGGCGATTGGAATAATCAATAAAAGAATCTGTAAGTACAATTTTTCATTATATTTTATCGATCGATCAATTTAGGTGCCGCTAACAAGCTTCAGCCTGTAGTTTTAAACCGCTAAGGCGCATGTCTGACGTAACGAGGCGGCCATTTTATCAATTCTGAGAATTCTGCATGCCGGCTAGGCATGGGCGTAACGTGAAAAAGGGGTATGAGTGAAAATAAATTAAATTTTTGGATTTGGAGTGATTTATTGGCATTTATTTTATTGGAAATGATATACAATGGTGGAATTTTATTATTAGTGGAGAAAATAATTATTTTTAATGGCGGTATAAAAATTATTTTTGCCAATTTTTAATTAATGAGGCCTAGGTGTATTTTAAATGTAAAATCGACGTCGAAAAGGGTGTTTTGGAGTTAATTACAGAAACCAGAGGCGTACTAAATAATTTTAAAAATATTTTATTTTTCAAAATAGGTGTTTTTGGGCGTGAGGTGACGTTTAATGTACATTACTAGTATTTTTGGATGGCGATCATTATTTAATTGATGTTTTATAGGCAATCCTATTGGATTGTTATTCTACGAATCGAGTCGCAGGTGACAATGAGTGGCTAGATCGCGCTGGTGTCCCTCAGGTTAGACTGTTGCCCTTCCGATCTTGTCTGTGTTCTTCAGGTCAAACTGATGCCCTTCAGATCTGTGCTGGTGTCCCTCAGTCAGCCTGTTGCCCTTCCGATTGGGTCCGATTGTCACCTAGCGATTTGATTATCACTAGGATTGGGTTGTAGGTGTCAGCGAGTGACTAGATCGTGGTGGATCGGGTCACGGCTAACACTCAGTATGTATTTTACTAATTTCTTTTGTTCTGTTCACAGGTAAGAATGTCGAAATCTAACGACGAAATGGATCTCGTAATCGACGAGCATGTCGACCTCGGTGACTCACCAACATCCGACCGTAGGCACAGAAGGCGGTCTACATCCCCAAGGCGAGGCGGTGCCAGATCCGATTCGAGGCGAGGAGAGGACCTGTCCAACATACCGGTGGAGACCCTAGTGAAGGCCCTATTGGCAGGAGGATTGTCAAAGGCGGTGGAGAGGATAGCCAAACAACAGGCGGCTCTAGTGGTGGGAGAAACGGTAGACCCTGCTACCCCAGGACCTTCTAGTATGAGAACCGATGAGGTGAGCGGCGCTGGAGGACGAAGATCCATGTGGTTCGTGGCTGACATGGTCGAGCGATTCGACCCCGACGATGCGGATTCCAACATCGAGCGGTGGTTGATGAAGATCGACCAGATGGGAGAAATCCATGGATTGTCCCCCAATGAAAAATCCATATTGGCCCAATCCAAGCTGGAGGGATCGGCTAAACGTTGGTACCACCAGTTGGAAGACTACGACCTGACTTGGGACCAGTGGAAGGCGAAGTTGAGGACGACGTTCCCCAGAAGGCGAGACTTCGCCATCATGTTGGAGGAGCTGGCAGCCAGGCGGAAGATACCAGGCCTGGAGAGCTACAGGGAGGATCACAAGGCGAGGAGGTCCGAACCGGCTGTCCAAAGGGTGGAGGAGCCCTTCCTGAAGCGCTGCTACAACTGCCAGAAATTTACGACCCATCTGAGCAGAGACTGTCCCCGTCCACCATCCATCATTTGCAGGGGCTGTGGCAAAGCAGGACATCGGCTTCCGGAGTGCAGGGCGGCGACCACCAGCGGCGACAGGAGTAATGCTCCCTCTGGGAGGCAGGTAAGATTGATTATCACTCCCTCTGATAGTTGTTTTAGGCATCTGGTGAAGGTGAACGGCCAAGATGTCAAGGCCTACTTGGACACTGGGAGTGAGCAGAACCTTATCTCCCTCTCGACGGTAAGACGGCTTGATCTAGACGTAGACGAAGGCGAAGGCGACGTCCAACTCTGTGGATTCGGCGGCGGAGCAGCAACCTCTCTGGGAGAAGTGTCATTCCAGATGACCCTTGTTGATGAGGTGCACACCGTGAAGGCGTTGGTAACGGACGACGAGATGGGCCGCATCGAGCTGCTTCTGGGCCAGCCAACCATCAATGGTCCAGGAATCACTATGGTGGTGAGGAATGGGAAGTCTTATCTGAGGAGGGACCCAGACATCAACGAGTTGATGAAGGAGATCTCCTTGGATGGCGAATCTACCAGACCGAAGGCGCTACTGGCGGAAGATGTCGTGTTGCAGCCCAATTCTGTCAGTAGGATTAAGGTGAGGGTGACAAATGGCGTTCCAGGCACCATCTATTTTATGGAAAAGAAGTACTTCCCCCATAAAGCCTCCAATGTCCTTATTCCATCGGGGCTGATGAGAACCGGTCTGGAGGAGGTGAAGGTGGTTAACGACGGCGACGGCGAGATTAAGTGGAGGAAAGGACGACTCATCGCACGAGTGGAGGCGTGCCAGCCGAGCGATGATGTAACCGGAGCGTCGGAGTCACAAGTGAGAAAGCTTTCCTTATCTAATAATAGTAGCTTAGACATTTCAGGTTTAAATGTAGGAGATATATCGGCGACATGTAGAAAACGTCTATGTTCCTTATTAAAGCGTAAATCTATGTGTTTTTCCACAGGTGAGGATGATATTGGGTTAACTAACTTAGGAAGCATGCAAATAAAATTAACTACTGATGTACCAGTATATTATAGGCCTTATAGGTTATCTCATCATGAACGAGAGCTGGTCAGGCAGAAGGTGGAGACTCTTTTGGAGGCGGGTGTGATACGAGAAAGTGAATCTGCTTATGCTAGTCCTATTGTGTTGATACCGAAAAAGTCTGGTGAGATAAGGATGTGTGTTGATTATAGGGCTTTAAATGCTGTCACTGTTAAGGACCGTTACCCACTACCTTTGATTTCGGATCAGCTTACCAAATTGGCGAATAAAACTCTCTTTACCACTTTAGATTTAGCTCAGGGGTTTCATCAGGTGCCAATGAATCCAGATTCGGTGGATAAAACAGCGTTTATCACACCGGATGGCCATTATGAGTATTTGCGAGTGCCATTTGGTCTTTCTAATTCACCAGCAGTGTTTCAGCGCATCATTGATAAGATGTTAGGTAAACTGAGATATGGCGAGGTGTTAGCTTACATCGATGATCTTTTGATACCAGCTGCAGGCGAAGAAGAGGGTTTAGCGATGCTAGAAATGGTCTTAGGGTTGATTGAACAAGCAGGTGTTAAGCTCAAACTGGAGAAATGTTCTTTCTTGCAAAATACTCTTGAATATTTAGGACACGAGGTGACTGGAGAAGGTATTCGTCCTGGAAGGCGTAAAATACAAGCCGTACAAGAATTTCCAATACCTAAGAATGTGCATGGTGTTAGACAGTTCATTGGTTTAGCTTCTTATTTTAGGAAATTCATTAGAAACTTTGCGGTGTTGGCGAAACCATTGACTATTCTTACTAAGAAGGATGTACCTTGGAGTTGGAGCAGCGAGCAACAGGAGGCTTTTGATTTACTCAAGGATTATCTGGCGAATAGACCTGTGTTAGCATTGTACGACAATCAGGCGAATACAGAACTGCATACTGACGCTAGTAAGCTGGGATTGTCAGGTATTCTCTTGCAAAAAGGGGCAGATGACAAGTTGAGACCTGTTGAATATTTTAGTAGGGCTACCACGGTGCAGGAGCAGGTGTATCACAGTTATGAGCTCGAAACGTTAGCTGTAGTTGAATCTGTCAAGCGTTTTAGGGTGTATCTAGTTGGAAAACGTTTTAAAGTGGTGACTGACTGTGTAGCAGTGAGAGCGGCGTTACTTAAGAGAGACTTGGTTCCTAGAATAGCTCGGTGGTGGTTGGCGATTCAGGAGTATGACATGGAGATAGAATATCGACCTGGTAACCGTATGCAGCATGTTGATGCTTTAAGTAGGAACCCACCTGTTGATAAAGTCTGCGTAAATATTGTTACAATGTCGGAGAATGATTGGTTTTTAACGGTGCAACTGCAGGATCCTAAGGCGCAAGAAATTGTGAGACTACTGGCATCAGAAAACGTTGACAAACAGACCAAGGCGCTTTATAAGGTGAAACATGGGCGACTTTATCGTGTAACTTCACATGGAGATAGGTTGTATGTACCAGCTATGGCTAGATTCAGTATTCTTAGAAAGCATCATGATGACATAGGTCATCCGGCCCTTGAAAGGTGTCTAATTTTAATATCAGAGACGTATTGGTTTCCTAAGATGCGACGTTTTGTGTCTAAGTACGTCAAGTCATGTTTGAGGTGTGGATTTGCAAAAGGTCAGTACGGTTTAGTCGAAGGGTTGTTACATCCAATTGAGCGTCGACCAGTACCATTTGATACAATACATGTTGACCATTTGGGCCCATTTGTGAAAAGCATTAAAGGTAACTCGTATATTTTAATGGTGGTGGATGGATTTACTAAATTTCTTATAGCGAAGCCTACAAAATCTGTTAAGTCGTCTGAAACTATTTCACGTTTAAAAGAGGTTTTCGGTGAGTTTGGTTATCCAAGGCGAATCATATCGGATCGAGGCAAGGCGTTTACGAGTAAGGAGTTTAAGGAGTTTTTGGTGGATAAGGGTGTAAAGCACGTGTTGAATGCGGTGGCAACGCCTAGGGCGAACGGACAAGTGGAGAGACCCAACAGGACGATTGTAGAAGCCTTATCTTCGACTGTAGAGGCTGAAGGTCGGTGGGACGAGAAATTGTCGGATGTTGTGTGGGGACTCAATCATATGATCAATGCTGGGACACGTTTTTCTCCTGCACACTTAATGTTTTCCCATAGTCATGGCCGAGTAACCGATTTGGCGGATGGCGAGCTAGCTAGCGACGACGATAATAACGGGGCTGGTGGGAGTCTCAAGAACATGGTGGATGTTCAGGGTGTCGAGCGTGCAGTACAAAGGAGCGATGTCGAGGCGAAGGAGGTTGAGGAGATTGGTGAGCCCGACAGGGTATTAGGTAATATCGACACCCGCTTGGTGGATCAGGGTGACGACTTTGGTCTCCAAGTTTCTAGGCGCGGTGGGCGAGGCGGGCGAGATGAGCAAGGTGGGCGAAGGAGACGAAGCTCAAGGTTACTCAACAAAAGGGCTATGACTAGAGATGTTTCATCTCCCATTGATCGAAAAAGGGTAAAACTTCAGGACCCATTAGTCAAGGCAGGTGTGGTTAGTGATGGGCTCCCAAACCTAGAGAAGGCTGTGGTATCTGGCCCATGCCCGGTCTTTTCAGACGGGGAGAGAGTTCATTCCGATCATACTAGGGCTTTGGCTAATATCACAAAATCTGCACGTAAAATGAAAAAGAATTTTGATAAAGGTAGAAAGGTTGCAACCATTTATGAAATTGGAGATTTGGTGCTTTGGAGAAATTCAGCTACAAAAAGGGCGGGCGCAGGTGTTAGTAGTAAATTGGCAAATAAATTCGATGGTCCGTATAGAGTAGGTAAGGTATTAGGACATGATCGATATCGAATTGAGGCGATAGAGGGTGTTCGAGGCTACAAGCGTTTCCAAGTGGTTGTCGCTGTAGACTCTCTTAGACGGTATCACGGAATGAATGAGGTTGAGTATGAGTCTGATACAGATGAGGAGTGCCAGGGGCAGGTTGATGAAAGTGATATCGACTAAGACCATTAGTATTGTGTATGTAATTAATGGGGACATTTAATTTTTCAGGATGGCCGAATGTTACGCCACTGTCGGGAATCCAAGTTCCCAACGCATCGAAGCGGCGTGAGAGGGCGCAGGTATCGGAGCTAGGCGCGAACTACGGTACCAGCGAGAAGGCGAGGGAGCGGTGTGGCAGTTTGTACCCATTCGAGTTCCACAGTAGGCGTGTGTTACATTCAATTAATAATTTTTGGCGATTGGCGTTGTTAATATTTTTCAGTTAATAAAAGTGATTTATTCGGGTGTGGTGTGTTTTATTATACCCGTAACAATTATATGAAATAATCAATTTTAAAAGAGTATTGTAAAAAAGAATCGATTGTAAAGAGAATCGATTATAAAAAAGAACCGATTGTAAAAATGAATCGATTATATAAAGTAATCGATTGTACAAAATAATCGATAGCACATCGAGGATCGTTTGTAAAAATAGTTGATTATAAAAAGAATCAATTAAAAAAAGAGAATCAGTGCACAAAAATAGATTGTATAAAAAAATTGAGTGGAAAGAATCGATTGTACAAAAACATAATTTGATAATTTGCAATCGATTGTAAAAAGAGATTTATAATAAAACAAAATCGATTGTAAAAAGAATCTATTCTAGAAAAGAATGAATATAAAAAAGAATCTGAAGAATTCAGACATTTGTATGAGATATATTTACCATTTGAATGACCTGAGAATTCGAATGATTATCCGATTATAATCGTTCAAATACTCATATTCGATTATTAAAATCATTCAATTAAGCATCACTAGAATCGTTTTAGAAACATTTGAATAGCTTGGCAGCACACATTCAACAATTGACAGTTTGTATAGACACTTGACTGACTTTTATATGAAAAGCATTCATTTTAATGACAAGGGTAGATATATAAAACTTTTCAAAACTTAATTATTGAAGTAATAGATCACTTACATATGTCCTCCTTGGCCCAAGCTCTCAGCTAACGCTCTCCTAAGCATATTGTCCCTGTCGAAGACGCCATAAGTCGCTTGCATGACTGAATCCAAGAGACAATCGCCTGCCGATCTGTTCCACAATGCGTACAATCTGGATCCCAAACGGACGGTGATGTCCAAAGACCAATTAATCACGGCGGGATCTGTTTCAAGTTGTTCCTGAGCGTCTTTGTCCAGTAACTCGTTAAATAACTGGTCTTGAACGGCGGTGGGAAGCTCGTCAACTTCTGAAAGTGAAAATATTCGCGATTCACATTAATTTCCCCACGCTGTTTTCTTCAAAATGGAAGTATTATTAGATAATCAAATACATAAGTATATTCGATATAAAATCATTATTACCTGCAGGTAAGGTGAATGTGGGAAATTCGGTAACGAAATTGCAAGGAAAATTTCCCTTCCTCGAACGTATGGTAGAAGCGAAATGTCTTCTGATATCAGCTGCGATATCCGGAGCCACATAACTAGGTACTCTTTTCACGCCCGATCCGGAACCCTCTATTTGGGATAAAAGAACGGCTAATAAATCTTCTCTTTGGAACCTGAATCATAAAAATTGTTGAAAAATTAATTGGTACCTTTAAAGAATTTAAACACCTACCTTATAGCTAAATGTACTAAAGTATGTCCTACATCGAAGGCGGAACTTCTATTCAAAATGGCTACTTCAGAAGCTGTCAAAGTACGGGCCGGATCCCCGCCTGAAGAAAGATAAGCCTCCACAGGATTCGGATCGCCGTCTATCACTCCTATACAGGCGTTCAGCCAACGCCAGTCGGCGTGACGACGCAGATGCCTCAATTTACGCTCGTTTTCTAGGTTATTGGGGCTCTGGCCCGAATCTGCAATACATATAAATTAGATATCGCAAATATTTTAGTGGAATATAAAGTATTTATTACCTAAAATATAATCTTTGAATCTGTCCTCTTGGTTGAGATCGGATTCGCATATTTCATCTGGCGAGGGAATTATTAGACTAGATGCTTGGGATCGTTGGGTGATCGTTCCGCACATGGCGCACTTTTGGGTTTTTGGCCAATTTTCATAAGTACACAACTGAAATACAAACAAAAAACTTTCTTTAAAACATAAACTTTTTTATATTACATAAATTAAACAATTGTTTTGAGCATACAGTTACCTGTTTGAACAGTGTAATTATAAATAAATAAATGGCATGGACCTCAGGGATCTATACAAAACCCGCTGATATTCCTACTGTTTATTAGTGATTTACCAAAACATTATTATTAAAACTCACCGAGCACATCCATTTGGCCTGCGACGACCTACGGGAATTTTCTATATTAGTTAAACTGGCTGGAGGGCTATTATTCCTAGATTGGGACAAGCTTTGGGCTAAATCGGAGTTCTGGGTAATCCTTAATGGTTGGATGTGTTCGTGCAGTGTTTGAGCAGACAGAGAAGTCGAACCGCAAATGATACAAATGCCTGTCAAGTTGTATGTACATTTCGCGCACTTCGGCCTATTCTCTATCGGTCCAGCGGCTGATCCGATGGTAGAGGAAAATTTATCTTCAGTGTTATTCTTTTCTCCGTGTAACCTAAAACCGCTTCTATTAGATACATCGCAAGATATGGAACATGTGAATAATGTTGTCATCTGCCATTGCAACAAAATTGAATTAGATTTTCAGAAGTTACAGTACAGGACAAGAGAAAGTTTTCTAATGGCGAGTATATGTTGCAAAAATTACAGTCTGTCATTTCTAAATTTGAGTATAACAAACCTGTAAATATCTTCATTGACGAAAGGTTTGGGACCTCTGCACATGGTGCACTTAATAGCCGATGGATAATTTTCATATGTACAATAATCGCAGGACCATTTCTTCTCAGATTCGCTCATTTTCGGAGTTTGAGATCCTTTTTTTTTTGTAGGTAGCCTGATTACTTGCAACTAGTTCAAGCTGAGCCCTGTTTCTGTCATGAATTTACCATACTTATTTGATTCAATTTGATTCCTTATAATCTAAATAGAGCAGCAATTTGAATTTACCTAGATAGACATGCTTATATTGATACCTGTAATGTAAATTAAATTGGTCAACAATTTAGAAATATACTAGTAAAAAAAAAGTAACTCACAATTTAGATACTTTCATTATGTTTGACTTTTATTCTTTGATTTTTAATTAAAATTAAATAAACCAGTGTTAAAAATTCTGAAGTTCTATTACCTGCCATTTCTAAAAAGTTTTAGGATGCAATAATAAAATATTTTAGTTGCAATCCACTTATGCAATACTTTTTATATTGAGTGTATTTTTAATTATTTATTTCATTACCTATATAAATGTTTATATTATTAAGTAGTTACTTTTATTGATGAATTTTTGGTTTAGTTTGGGTTGTGCATACGTATTTGTAATAGTAATATTATTGTGTATTTTAGAGCCTAAAATTATGTCGCTTTTAAACTCATGTGTTAGGCTCGCGTTGATTACGACCCTGCCCTTTGTACATACATACCGATTGAATGATTTAAAGATATTTTTCGCGACATAAACGGATTATGTTCGTCTATCCCCCCACCACATATAGTATATGTTGACGCCAAAATGGAAAATACATGCTGTTTTGAAAGTGGGCAGTGAGTTGAAGTAACAATTTTTTATTATTTCAATTATTCATGTGTGCGTAAACCACGCGATTTTTCCTAAGAGTAAAAACAGTTTAATTATTTTATATTAATATTTAATGTACCTAAATATATTGTCTAAAAATTACAAAAAATGTTACTTGTGCTATTTTAATTAATCTATTTATATTTACTATCTTTAATTGTTGAATAATTTTGTATCTTTCCTCTACTTCAATTTCAATCTTATTTAATTTAAATTTTAAAATTAAAGCCATCTTTTAGCTTTGTATACCGTTTCTAGTCATTTGTCAAACACATGAATTAACATAACCGCCTGTGGATGAGATCATGTTCGAGTGTGCTAAAGAGTGACGTCATTACAACTTCCCCTCCGGTCTTTGATGTCGGCCAAAACGGAAGATCCTGCCTAAATAACATAATCTACCATAAACGTTTATGTTGGTTTATGCCGCGAAAAATACCTTTTAGTGAGGTCTTCGGACTGAGCGCGGTGGCGTTTCGGCGTCATCGATGCTTCGTAAAGATGACCAAACTTGATCATTTAGAGGAAGTAAAAGTCGTAAAACACCTGTTACTTCCTCTTAAAAAAAAATCTGATGTGTCCAACACATTATTATAGGCTTTTTCCGGTTATTTTGTACAACCTATTGCAGCATCTCTATAAAAGTTTAGAGGATAAACTAAATATATACATTGTCCACATACATCTACCTATCTATCTATTTTTCTATAGATATTCATTGAAAACGAAAATACTGAAAAATTTAAATTTAGCGGTCCATTTTAGAAAAATCATGTATAAACAAAAATTATAGAGATCGATATCGCAAACAACTTTAAGTCCAACAATTTTCATAAAAATCAGAATTTTGCACTTTTTGTCAAATTTCTCGAATACGGACCATTTCAGGAAATTTTGACATAAAACAAAAATTATAGATAATAATATTAGAAATAACTTTTATTTGAACAATTTTCTTCTCCAAACATAAATAACAGATATATTCCATAAAATATAAAAACTGCTTCCCATAAAGTACCCCCCTAGATGTTCCGACTTTGTCCAAAATCTAATCATTTCACGTCAGGCCGAAATAAACCTTAAGTTTAAAATTTAATGTTTTTTCTTTATCCGTTTTTGAGTTTTCTTCAAAATTCGAAATTTACACATTTTCTCAAATATCTTGAATACGGTCCATTTTAGAGAAATTATGTATAGAATAAAAATCATAGAAAATTATATAGCAAACAACTTTTATTTGAACAATTTTTATAAAAAAATATTTTTTTTACATTTTGTCAAATTTCTATAATACGGACCATTTTAGGAAAATTTTGTATAGAACAAAAATTATAGATAAAATAATATAGATAATATTGGAAGTAACTTTTATTTAAATAATTTTCTTCTCCAAACGTAAATAACAGATATATTCCATAAAATATAAAAATGACCACCTATAAAGTACCCCCCCAGATGTTCCGACTCTGCCCAAAATCTAATCAGTTCATTAGACGCTGGAATAAAGCTTAAGTTTAAAATTTGGTGTTTTTCTGTGTATCGGTTCATGAGTTATGCGACCTACAGACACACACACACACACACATCATCGCGAAAATAGTCAAAACGAATTCAGGGGACCTCAAAACGTAAAAATCCGTCGAAAACTCGAGGTCGAAAAAAATCATGATTCCTATACTTTCCTTATATCTTCTGTATACAGGTAGGAAAGAAAAAGAAGAGGTAACAGAAAATATTTCGATAGAATTAGTAGAGGTCGCGAACATGATGAAAACATATAAAAAGTGAATAAATATTGTGCAGCGACCCCTTCGGGGACGCTGACGGGATGTTTCGTTCGGAAATTTCTCATACAAAAATTGTCCGAAAAAAAAAATGGCGCCCGACGAAAAATTTGTGTGCGTGGTGAGGTGGAGAGGCGAAGGGTGTTTGGGAAAAATATTCAAAAAATTATTCGTTTCCATTAAAACGTCGAAACACGATAAAGAAATTTTCAAAACGTCATAAAAAAGTGACAGTTGACGGGAGACAAAAAATTGCTTCTGATGAGCCGACTGCGATGTCTTGAGCGTCTGCCGTTTATGCATACTCACTTCCATAGTGCACCCAAATCCCGGAAAAGGGACTCATAGGACGTTTGGACGATTTCCGTGCGATTTTTCGCGGTTTCCATGGAAACTGTCAAACAGATTTTGACGCCGATTTTTTTTTTGGGAAGCGTCCCGTGGGTATGCACCCTCCGTCCGAGCTTCATCGAAATCGATCCATCCGTTCGGAAGGTACGATTTTTTAAAGTCACCCGGAAACCCCTCATACGAAATTGGTCGAGAAAAAAAAAATGGCGCCCGATGAAAAATTTATGTGCGTGGTGAGGTAGAGAGGCGAAGGGTGTTTGGGAAAAATATTCAAAAAATTATTCGTTTCCATTAAAACGTCGAAAAACGATAAAGAAATTTTCAAAACGTCATAAAAAAGTGACAGTTGACGGGAGACGAAAAATTGCTTCTGATGAGCCGACTGCGATGTCTTGAGCGTCTGCCGTTTATGCATACTCACTTCCATAGTGCACCCAAATCCCGGAAAAGGGACTCATAGGACGTTTGGACGATTTCCGTGCGATTTTTCGCGGTTTTCATGGAAACTGTCAAACAGATTTTGACGCCGATTTTTTTTTTTTTCGAAAGTGTCCCATGGGTATACACCCTCCATCCGAGTTTCATCGAAATCCATCCATCCGTTCGGACGGTACGATTTTTTAAAGTCGCCCGGAAACCCCTCATACGAAATTGGTTGAGAAAAAAAATGGCGCCCGATAAAAAATTTGTGTGCGTGGTGAGGTAGAGAGAGGCGAGGGGTGTTTGAGAAAAATATTCAAAAAATTATTCGTTTCCATTAAAACGTCGAAAAAGGATAAAGAAATTTTCAAAACGTCATAAAGTGACAGTTGACGGTAGACGAAAAATTGCTTCTGATGAGTCGACTACGATGTCTTGAGCGTCTGCCGTTTATGCATACTCACTTCCATAGTGCACCCAAATCCCGAAAAAGGGACTCATAGGACGTTTGGACGATTTCCGTACGATTTTTTGAGGTTTTTCGCGGTTCCCATGGAAACCGTCAAATAGATTTTGACGTTGATTTTTTTTAAAAAGCGTCTCGTGAGTCCGCACCTTCGGTGCAAGTTTCGTTAAATTCCATCTATCCGTTCTTAAGATATGATTTTTTAAGTGATTTTGGAAACCCTATTTTAAATTTTCTCAAAAAAAAAGAAATATTTCTATCGAAATATTTAACAAGGATTGTTTATGGTTATAATTCAGTATTGACTTAATGCGCACGAAAAGCTTTCAAAATTACATTCAGAAAGTATATCTGCCTTCTCTATACCTCTTATTATTAGTTTAATGTATTTTTTTTCTTGTTACTATTATTTATTTATTTAAAAGAAGGTCCAACCCCATTACAAAACAAAATACCTATAAATTATACAAATAATTGTAAATTAAAAAATACAACTAAGAGGAACAAAGTTAAAATTATAAAATAAATAAAAGTCAAATAAGTTTTAAATTAACAAATGCATTTTAAGTAGTGTAAATCCGCCTGTATATTTAATTTTCACTCCAGTGTGTTAGTACAGATGGCCTTAAATCTATTAAAAGAAATGCTTGGTAACCTCAAGATTCAATTGATTTATTACCCTCAATGTTTTTTCAATGCATGCCATTGTATTGTGAAATGGAACATATTTAATAGCCTAAGGACTCTTATTTCATTTAACCCTTTAAAGACTGTGGGTATTTTGAGAAGACCACCTTTATACTTCCCACCGGTTTCTCAGTTATACCACTGTGTTAAATTGGTTATCTATGTTAAAATCTACATAGCTAAAGTTTTGATCTCCAGAACATGTAAAAAGAGGAAGACCATGGATTGAAAAACAAATTAGTAAATTTAAAATCAGTGCAGTACAACTGCAAATGTTAGCAGAACACAGTATAAGTATGATCGGTTCCCTGAATATTTAATTTGAAGGCACAGTACCTTAGACATTTATTTTGTATTCTTTCCACCAAATTATAGAAGCATACTCCAACTGAGGTACAACCAATGTTTGATAAACTCTTTTTTATGGCTTCTAGAGAGAAATCAGAACAGTTATGCAGTGTTTTTCAGGAGAGTACACAATTAATTTTGAAGTGTTACAGCAGTGTAAAGCAAGGATAGTAGATGTAAATACTGATTAATTCATAAAACACATGTTCGCTCCTCAGATAATCATACTCACACAAACTATCCCCTCTCAAATTAGGAGCATTCTCCTTCTTTCTAAGGCCAATGTGACAAAGCTGTCTGTGAAATAATAAACACATTCTGAATGATTACAATAAAAAAGGACTTAATTATGAATAAATGGATTAGGCTAGTAATTTTTCGTCATTGATATTAACCAAGTTGATGCTGTCCATCTATATTGACTTTTCCAAACCAAGATATAATAATAGTAGAAAATGCATTACTTAGTAAATAAAAATGATATGTAAACAAATCTAAAATAACGATTTTATAAACAATTGCTTCATTTATAATCAAATATTGATGTAAAACACATTTAGTTTTCTTTCTATAGACATTAGTCTTGAATAAAGTGTACATATTTTTTTATTTACTTACCTTATTTTATCTGTTCTTTTTTTGGTAAACACTATTTTAGTAGTTTTTTTTATGACATTATTTTATCTTCTTTATTATTGCACACCATTGGATGTAAATCCATATTTAGTTTAGTATATTATGGCACAATATTTTGTAAACATTTTTTTCAAACCTGTCATTTCCACTTATTAACATCGATTCAGCTAAGCTAATTTTACTTGGAAAAACTAAAAAATGCACTTTCTACAACGTCTAAAACATTTTACGTACAATTTTATAGATATAAAATGGTAATATTCCACATTCACTTACTATGCTAAAAATTGGCATGTGTTATATTGTGTAGGATACATTGCCAATGTCAATTATAAATATAATTGAAGCGTTTCCATTATATGTGAACTCATTATCAATAAAATCTAAACGACCAGAAAGGCCTTAATATTCCCAGAATACCTAAATGAATTAATTATCACCTACTTCTCTTACCTTCAACAATAGGGTCATAAATCGCAATGAAGGCACAACGATACAATTTTCGTGTTGATTTGAAAACAAATAATTTAGATACCATTTGTACAAAGCACTGCACCAAAATAATAATTATTTAGTAAATGTCAACAATACAGTTACTTGCATGTATTTTGACAAACTATTTATCAACTGTGTTGTTTTCCTTTTCCATCAAAACGAAAAATGGACAACAAAAATGTCATTTAAATGTCAACTGTCAGAAATTATACGAATCGGTAAGGCAGTTTTTCTTCTTACCGATAATCTTCTTTGTAGTTATGGCCTTTTATCTGCAGTTACAATAAGGCTTCTAGTTCTTTTTTTTAAACTTGCCTCTTATATAATAATATCATAGGTCATTAAAAGGGAAATAATAAATACAAAATTGGTATACTCATTCCGAAATAAGAACACACAAAAAAGGCATATAGAACCCACTCATATGCTTAAAATCTGGCCAGTTACCAAAGAAGAAACTAAAGAAAGCGCTTCGACTAACTTATAAAGGCATAATTTAGTAAATATAGGTCCGATTAATTTGGATCATCAGGTTAAAAAGCATAAATATTAATATTTATAAATCGAACTTGGTCAAGATTATAAATATGGACGAGTTTTAGAAATAAAATACGTTTATTGACAGTTTACACGTATTCATATTCATATAAACATTCTACAGACACATTAAAAAATAATAATATAAATCAATTCGGAATAAAGTCACTTCTAAAAAAAAATCAACTAAAATTAATATTTTCAAAAAAATTACAATGCTAAATACCATTTAGAATCTACCTAGAATTACTAGAACTATATAAACTATCATTATTAGAATTGGCAGTGTTCATTTGATGTACATTTCTTCTTCTTTTTTTTATTCTAATTCTGTTATATCTCATTTTTCTTCTCGCTTTTCGCTTCCTCTTCGGCTGCAACTCGTCCTCGAAGTCCGAGGCCGTGGCGCTAGAAACGGTTTCGTCTTGCGATTCGGTTTCAGATTGCCCGATCGAGATAGAATTTCCGTCGATGACAGTATCGACGTTGCTGCTATCGCCTGAAGAAATTTTTTTGCTTTTTTTATTTTTCCGTTTAAATACGAGAGGACCGTCGTCATCTTCGACATCGTTGGTCGTCGAGGTCACGACAGCTTCTTCGGATGTTACGGTGGATCGTTTTTTCCTCATGGAAGAGATAGTATTCCGCTTGGCCTGAAAATATTTAATAGAACAATAGAACTGGCGCCCGAGTAATTACTGAAGGCATAAAAAGTTGGGAATATTATCATAGAGACAAGAAAACTTACAGGTTCGTGAATATTGCAAACGAATCCCATTAGATTATCATAACGAACGTTTCCTTCAGAATGGGAGGGACAGAAGGAATTTAAGCATTTTACGCAGCATCTGATCGTCCTTTTAGAGCATACGTTACAATAGTGCCACGGACATACGTATTTTTTACCTGAAAACAAAGATAAACAGCTTTATTTTATTAATGAATTAAATTGAGATTATTTTATTATTGTTGATTATTCTGATAACATAAAGTAATTATTTGCATATCAAATGTTGATATAAGTACAAAAAAAAGATATTTTAGCCATTTTATTTTCGGATCGTTAATATTACCTTCCGGCCATTCATCCAATTTCAAACAACGTAAATGATAGGCTTTGTTGCAAATTTTATTGTTACAAAGACCCACGTTCCCTTTCTTTTGGCATATGAAACATGGCGGCAAAACGATCACCTTAACGGGTTCCTTTTTTTTTAATTTCTTTGGCTTCTTGGGTTCCGTTGATTCCTGAAACATTCATTACGTAAATAGATTGTAAAAAGATAATTGACAGTAAACAAAAATCATATAGGAAGCTTAAACGACTTACTTGTTTGGCTTTGACGCCGATGAACCCGCTACAATTGGGCGCGCCGCACTTGCACACCTTCTTCTCCGTGCCGGTGCACTCCAAATTGTAGTTGAACGTCAGTTCCGCGTCGGCGGCGATGTCTTCGGTAGCGAACAAGCCGACGCGCGTCTCGCCGTTGACCGTCCATTTTTGCGTTTCGCAGTTGGGCTGGCAGCAATGGTTCATGAATCTGGCAACGTTGCCTTTCGGTCCGGCATCGATCATCCTATAATATAAGTCGATTAGTACTGAAATCTTTCGAATGTTTCGACTATCACTCCAAAAGTATGCGAATGAAGAATAATCGATCATAATTAGAAGCGAATCGATATCATCCACTGTAAAAAAGAATCGATTGTACAACATAATCAGTTGTAAAAGGAATCGATTATAAAAAAGAATTGATTGTTAAAAAATCGATTATACAATTACAAAAAATTACCTGTTTGTATGTATGGTGAGGAAATAGTAATTTTCTTCTTTCTGCGCGTGCATTTTCGTAACTCTCCTTTGGTACTCCTCGTCGTCGATCAACTCTCCGACGTATTCGATAACGAACGTACCTTTTTTGATCGACTCCAACGTTTTCAAACCCCATCCTCTCGCTTCCGTTTTGTACGGAACCAAAAGGGGATATTCGCGTTTTTCGAACGACTGATTGTTGCACAGTTCCCCTGCCGGACATACTTCTGGATTGCATTCGGTCCACAGTAACCTCGAATTAAAAAAAGGACGTTTGATAAAAATATATTTGTTTCTGTTAATTTCCATTAGTTTCAATTAATTAGAATAACTGAGAAATACTTACCTATTTAGGCAATTGCTATCAGGTCCACAAGGATTGGGTTGAGCGGGATCACACTCGCATGCTGTGGTGTTGCTCAAATTCAATTCCATTAACTTGACATTACCCACCGGTTTGCTGACTTTGATCTTGATGTATGGAGGAGGTTTCAACGAACTCGCTGTCTCTGCCGCTTGAGTTGATTTGAATTCTGTACAAAATAAATGAATATTATATATTCCGTTATCTACAAAGGCGTAGAAGGGCTATATAATTTTTAATTTTGACTTTAAACACGAAATTTCGACATTAAAGTAGAAATTTTGAGTTTCATTTTGACTTTAATCCCGAATTTTCAACTTTAAACTAAGAATTTTGATTTTAAACTCGGAATTTCAATTTTAATCCCTAAATATCAACTTTAAAATTTAGAATTTCGCCTTTAAAATTTAGAATTTCGCCTTTAAAATTTAAATTTGTTGAGTAAAGTCAAAATTACGAGTTTAAAATCGAAATTCCGAATTTAAAGTCAAAATTTTGAATTTAAAGTCGAAATTTTAAGAATGAAGTAGAAATTCTCAGTTTTATTTCGACATTAATCCCTTATTTTTGACATTAAACTCGAATTTTCGAATTTATATTCGGAATATCAACTTTAAACTCGGAATTTACAACTTTAGAATTTGAAGTTTCATCTTTAAAATTGACATTTCGAAAGTAAAATCAAAATCCGAGTTTAAAATTGAAATTCCGAATTGAAGTCAAAGTTTCGAGTTTAAAATCGGAATTAAAGTTAAAATTTCGAATAAAGACTCGTAATTTTGACAATGAAGTAAGAATTTCGAGTTTTATTTCGACTTTAATCCCTTATTTTCGATTTTAAACTCGGAATTTCAACTTTAAACTCGGAATTTAAATATTAATCCCTAAATTTCAACTATAAAATTAGGAATTTCGACTTTAAAATTGAAATTCCTAGAATAAAATCGACATTTTTAGTGTACAAACAGAATTTTTAATATAAAGTCAAAATTTAGATTTTAAAGTCGAAATTTTAAGATAGTAGTAGACATTCCGATGTTCATTTCGACTTTAATCCCCAATTTTTGACTTTAAACTCGACATTTTGACTTTAAACTCGGAATTTCAACTTTAAAATTGATATTTTCAAAATAAAGTAGCAATTCCTAGTTTCAAGTCGGATTTAAAAAAAATGTATTATGTAGCCCTTTTACACCTTTGTAACTACCGATTCCAAATTGAATGTATAATAAAAACTCACGTTTTTTCATTTTGTGTGCGACGACGGCCTCTTCGACGGCTTTTTTGAAAATCGTTTCCACTTTATTTTTCATATTCGAACCCGTATCTATGGTGTCGCCTTCTTGAAACAGAAACGACCTACCTCTGTTGACCCAAAAGTGATCGTAAGTGCCGAAGAATTTTACTACGAATTCCCCAGGCGTGTGTTTGGCGTTGAACACATTAGGCGGTACCTGCAAAAAAAAGATTTCCAGAAAAGTAGTACTAGTCTACGAGCCAGCGGTTAATCCGAGTAACGCGTTGAAGACAAGATCATCAGTAAATATTTACGAACAGGCCCATTTTAAATCAAATGGAAAAGAGAATAAAAAAACTAAGGGTGTAAAAAAATGTGTAATATAAAATAACTTAAAATTGTTATTATTTCCTTATTCAATTGCTATTAAATTATAAATCTATCGAATCTTAGTTTATATTATTTGAGTAGTTACCTCGTTAGGAAACAAAATGAGACCCGGCCACCATTTGAAATGCCCCACTTTGACCCAGACGATTTCGTCGTAGAGCGGCAGTCGTCCGGATTCGCAGTCTTCGCAAATAAATTTATCATCATCTGTTAGATTGACAGTCATACATTCCGGATGGACGCTGGTCGGACAAATTTCGCAACAAATGAGATTACCTCCCTCGTTGCAAATGAAACACCATGTGGTATTGATGGTCAGATTTTTGCCGTCTGTAAATAATAATTATTGAACAGTTATTAATGCAATAAGTTGAAAAATAAAGATAACTAGCAATTCGAATAGGGAAAAAACATCTATTAATTTTTTTAAATAAAAAATAGAAGGAAGTTTTCCTATTCATCAAAATATAAATGATTAATTTGGTAATATAATACTTACTCTTGTTTCTGTGTCTCGGACAAACAATCTGCGTCGACGTGATTATATCGGCACCGGCCGGTACGCACAGATTGGTCGAATGATAACTGGCCGGGCAACTCAAACACTTCACGATTTTATCGCCGGAACACCGAGAGATGGCGGCACGCGGATCATCGGAAGCGCACGTGTGACAAACGTGTTGCGGACACACGAAGCTGTCGACTTCCTCTTGCGAAAACCTGAAGAGAAAAGAATTTTGATAGAATATACCTCGAGTCATCATCTTTTCCTGTAACTAAAAATATTTAATCAAAGAAGTAACCTTCGAAAACTCTTATTGATCAACATGTGTTCCGCTCTCGCTTATCGAACGAGACCAAAGAAACTGCTAGAAAGTCGCTAGAACTCATCTAGTAGGTTCAAGAAATACCTAGAATTCTTCGAGAATAGTGCGGTGCGCAGCATTTTTGTATAAATAGCTAAATAGCGCAACTTTGTCGTTGAAGATAGATATTCGAATTGTTATATAAATTAAATAGAGTGGAACATAATCTGACACCAAAGAAAGGCACAGTCAGAGAGATATAAAGAAGGGAAATCATCAGTAACCTGATAGTATTCGAGCAGTAAAGTAGATATATTGACTTCAAAAAGGTTTTCATATCACTAGATTATTATAATTTATACATACCTGTTTTTGGTAGTTTGTATCAAGGACCACTGCGTCTGCGGCCACAACTTCAAACATTCCGGATGGTAGAACCTCGAACACTGATACAACGAACACTTCTGTCGAATATTGGAACCGCTTCTAGACACGCTGTCGTGGCAAATGAAACAATAAGGATCGATATCTTCCACACAGAATCCGCACTTGAAGTGTTTCGGATTGGGATTAATATTTTTGTAGGCCAGCTCCACTTGCTCAGATATCTCAGATTGTTTACTCTGTCTGCTGGAAGTGCTCCTCAAGCTTTCGGAATCGATGGTTTCTATGCTATCTGCGTCTGCGGTTACGTGTTTTAGTAGCGACTTCCTCGCTCCGTTCGGTTTTTTCACTTCCAGAGGAATGCTCGTGCCCACGCCCGTTTTATCTGGAGGAGACGGAAAATCGGCTGTTACGTGTTTCATTAAAGATTTCCTCGTCCTGTTCGGCTTTTTACTTTTATCTTTGGCAATCGATTCGCTATTTGAGTATTCAGTGTTTGCTACCATGTGGTCGTGTCTTTGATCGTCTTCTTCCTTTATCGCTTGACCAGATGATTTCGTTGATTCGCCTTGACATATAAAAAAAAAGAGTTGCTGAATTCGAGTATTAGAAGTTGAGGTAAATAAATGGAATATAGATACGAATTGTCTGGTTTTATTTGTATTACTACTATTATTTGAAATCTATAGATCAAAGCAACAATCTCAAATTGTTAAAAAAAAAATCCAATTTCAACTTTGACACCCTGTAACTTCAAAACTTCTTGAAATTTCAAAATGTGGTCTTTAAGGAATATGTTTCTACAGTTTTTCTTAATATTTCTTTAAATTTTGAAGTCTTTAGATTAATTAGTTTGAAAATGGTGATGAAATTAAAAAATCCAAGTTCAAATTTGATGCTTTGTAACTTCAAAACTTATTGAATTCCAATTGTACTGTATTTATTTTGTTAATACATTGAGCATATTTGAGAAAATGGATTCTTTTTAAATAAATCTACGTTTTACCTGGAGAATCGGCCGTGACGTGTTTGGTTGAAGGCGGTTTCAGTATCATTTCCAAACTCTCCTCGATTTGTTTGGCAGAAATGGGCGAGCGTTGATTTATTTTCGCCATAGCGTCCAATTCTTTGTTGAAAATAATGGATCGTTTGGCAGATTTTTGATTGCCCACGGAGAACAGATCTTGACACCTTCGCAAAATAAATTGATCAATATTTTGGATATTTAAGAAAAAATACCAGAGACGAAGAACTACTAGACTAATCCATTCATTTATAATTAAATCCTTATTTATTTGTAAGCATTCGGCTGTATTTTATGTTAGATAGACGGAAGCGGATTACAGTGAATTCAAAAAGTTCAATTTAGCGTGTTTTTTGGAATTGATTCTTTTTATATTCAATTCTTCTTAGAATGGAATCTTTTTTTGATTAATTTTCAATCGATTTTTTTCTTTTTTGCAATCGATTCTTCTTACTGTCGATTTTTTACGTTCGGTATTATTTACAATCGATTCATATTTAAAATAGTTTTTTTTTATTTATTTTTTTTACAAACTATTCTCTTTTACTACAATCGAATTTTTTACATTAGAATATTTGTTTATAATCGATTCGTTTTTAAATCATAATCGATTATTTTTATATATAATGTTTACACTCTTAACCTCACTGTCGGTTTTTTACTTTCCTATTTGTATACAGATATAAGGAAAATATAGGAACCATGATTTTTTCGACCTTAAGTTTTCGACGGATATTTACGTTTTGGGGTCCCCTGAATCCGTTTCGACTATTTTCGCGATGATGTCTGTGTGCTTGCAAATTTTATAGTTAACTCTAATGAGTTGATTAGATTTTGGGTACAATTGGAGAATCTGAGGGTGCTTCCAAAGGGGGCGATTTTTCCTCTTTATGGAATATCTGTTATTTATGCTTGGAGAAGAAATAAAAGTTGCTTTTAATGCTATTCTCTAAAATTTTTGTCCTATACATAATTTTCCTAAAATGGTCCGTATTTGAGAAATTTGACAAAAAGTGCAAATTTCGAATTTTAAAGATTACTCAAAAACGGATAAAGAAAATAACACCAAATTTTTTAAATTTAAGCTTTAATACATCCTGCAGTATAAGCTGATAAAATTTTGGGCATAGTCGGAAAACCGGGAGGGAAAAGGGGTATTTATGAGTATCATTTTTTATACTTAAATCAATTCATATTTTCAATCGATATTTTTCATGCTCACTAACCTCCATTAATCGTTTTTTATTCGATTCTTTTTAATCAATTTATCTTTAACAATCGATTGTTTTTTATAATCAATTATTTTTTATAATCGATTCTTTTTTATAATCGATTCTTTTATATTAATCAACTAGACATAATAAATGATTACATTGCGAATATGTTATTAGTAGTACTTACATTGAAAAACTTTTGCTCCTCGACGCCGGCGATTTGATCGGTTTCTCGTCGGACGTCGATTCGTTGAGCATCTCCAAATAGGCCTTCGATTCGAATTTTTTCATGATTTCTTTCATTTTGAAATCGATCCTCTCCGCCAACGTCATATTCATAACGTCCGGCGGAAACGTTTTTCCCGGAGGCGTAGCGCAAACGCTCGACGGCACCGTAATGATTTGAACGTGATTTTCGTCCACTTCCGATTGGTTACCTAAAAAAATTAAACAAGAAATATCTACTAAACGAACGGTGGAAAGTGTCAAGGCTATAACACTTATGTAATCGATATTTTTTACATTTGATACTTTTTGCAATCGATTATTTGTTATAATCGATTTTTTTTTGGATTAGATTATTTTTCCAATCGATTTTTCTTAACAATCGATTTTTTTATAAAAAATAAAGGCCAAATACGTCAAAATAATAACACTGAAAATGTTGGGATGTGGCACTTGGACGCCAAAACGAAGAAAAATAAATAATTACCTGAATTGTTTTCCAGTTTTTCAACCTTCTTGCCCTCTGAAGGGCTGGTTTCGATTTTCGGACTTATTAATTTCCTCCTCTTGGGCACCTTCTCGATCAAAACTTGCACCGAGCACTTCAGATGGTAAGTACCCTGACAGCCGCCCTTGCACCTGTACAAATCTCCGAAATTGAAACAAAACTGACAAACCTTGTCCTTGGGTACGCCTTTGAATAGATTGTTTCTCTTATACAGCGACCTCTGGTCGTCTAAAGAATAATAACCGAAATGTTGGATGCTATCGATGCTGACTTTGTATTCGATATCGGATATTTCGTCTTTTATTACAACTTCTTCGATTTTAACGGGTTCTAGTACGATTGGGTCTTCATTAACAGCTGGTTCGGCGGGTTGTTCGTCTTCAACTGCTTTCGAAATTTTCTTCTTCGGCGATTTTTCTTTCTGCGATGTACTGGGCGACGATTTAATACTTAATTTAATTTTTTTCTTTGCGTGGACATCTTCTGTACTTGAATCTTTTTCTGGAGGTTCGCTTATTGTAGAATCATCTTGATCTGTGAAAACAATTGAGTAACTGGCTTGGTATCTGGGGTTTTTAATAACAATTAAATGCTATTTATCACTGACATACAACAAGCATCAAGGAACAACACATCAGAAATTACAAGAAACGAGAAAAATAAAATATGTACAAAATAAAAGGAGAAAGACAAGAAAAAAGAAGAAGAATTGATGCAATAAAAACAAAAAATATATATATAACTGTAAAAGTGTAACGTTGTGTATATGTTTTTAACCTTGTTATTGGTGTTTTACATTTACATACCTTTAATTTTCCTTTTCTGCGTTTCCTTGGATTTGGTCGATACATTCGTTTCCGATTGTTCTTCTTCTTGCGCCTCTTGAGATTGTACGCTTACAGTTTCCATGAATTTAATGATTTGTTTCAAATTGAACTTTTGAGATTTGACATGCTCCACTTCTTCCACCGCAGTTATCCATTTACTCATAAAGGGTTTTCTGACGATAAAAGCGTGTAACTCGGACGAAGGTTTAAACTATGACAAATTGTTAATTAATTTTTCAATTGTTAGTTAAATGTTCGTTAATTGTTAGTAATTTTTAGCTAGTTAGTTAATTGTTAAAGTTAGTCAGTTAATTATATTGTAAAAAAAGAAAACAATCTCTTAAGTTAGCAATAAAATGGAAAAAATTAATAAGGAAATTCAAAATTAGCAATAGAAGTACCAGTTTGTATTTTACCTCTTTTAAACTGTCAAGAATTCTCTTCAGATCATTCCTATCAGTAAATTTCATAATCTTTTTTCTGTTTATCCAAGCTCTTCTTCCTCTATCGCCAAAAAATCGAACATGGTAGAATATGATTGGAGAATACTTCTTTAATACTAAAACAACAGATTAAAACATCGTCACACCATAACTGTTAATGTTTTGTTTTTATATTATGTTAGAGGGACACCATTACAGCTTATTACCTCTTATTTGCAAAAAAGAACTCAATATGTTCAAATTGATGGGCAAACTTCGGGCAAGAATTTAGTACTGTATGGAGTTCCACAAGGTTCTGTTCTCAGACCCTTAATTTTTATCATTTACTTTAATGATTTGTCAATTAATCTAAGTAACATCATACAGGTGTATTATGCTGATGATTCAACATATATTGCTACAGATAAAAATAAATCTGATACTCTAACAACATAAACATACAGGTATTTATCACGATACTTTTTATTATAAAAATGTGTATACGAGGACATATAAAAAAATTTCGGTGCTTGCAAAACCTAAAGATTCCTATGAAATTATTTAAAAAAAAAAAACTTTAATAAAAAGTATTTACGGCCATATTGTAAGCCGTAAAATATCTACGGTCGGATCTTTAGTAGACCATGACCAACAAAGACAGATACATACGAAAAAGAGTAAAATACTTACCCGATTTGGTAAAAATTTTAGAAGTAGGTTCGTTCGTGATTACACATGGCCAGTATGGGTAATTTCCGATTTGAGCCCAACCCATTTCTCCTAATTTCGGTTTAGCAATATTGGCTGAAAATTAAACAGAACGCATATCAACATTTTAACGAAAACTAGAAATAACTATTTAACTTACGTATGGCATACTTCTTATAATCGTTTAACATTTTCTTCAATATATTATTTCTCGGACCGACGCTGTTACTTCTTCTTCTATCTTGATAGTTAGTTCTAGTTTCATCCGACCTTCTGTTTGTTGAGTTTTGGAGGTCATCTCGGTTTTCGGAATACCTGTATGCAGGCGCGACACTTTTACTTCTAGGTCTTCTTCTAGCTCTTTTAATGTCAACGTCAGTAGCGATAACTTCCGATTTTTCATCCAAAATTGACCCAATTTTTATTACATCCGCTGTAGATGTATCATTGTCGTCTATTTTTGATTCAGTTTCTTTACAATCTTCCAATACTGATTTAGAATCAATTCTTCTATGCGATCTTCTCGCTTTTAAAATAGTATCCTCTACACTGTCATTTATTTCCGGTTTTATTAGCGAAGTTTGAATTTGATCTTCCATTACTGCATCTTCATCATTAATTATACTGTTATTGCGCTCTTCGATTAAAGCAGTTTCTTCAATGCTCTCTGAATGTTCTTTCACTGATAAATCTGTTTTGGATCCAAAAGGATTTTCTTCTTCTACTTCAACATTTCTATTTTCAGCAAAATCTTTATTATGGGATCTAGTTCTGTATGTACGTTTTTTAGAAGTCATCAAATTATCCATTGATGCATCTGCAACAGTATGCTCTGTACTTTGAATTTGATGTACAATGGTTTCATTTGTGATTGTTGCATCTTCATCATTAGTTTTGGTTATACTGTTTTTGCACTCTTTGATTAAATTAGTTTCTTCAATGTTCTCTGATGCATCTATTTTGGATCCATATATATTTGTATAATTATTTTCTGCAAAATCTTTATTATGGGACCTAGTTCTGTATGTACGTTTTTTAGATGTCACCAAATTATCTAAATTTTCAACAATTGTTGTTAAAGATTTTCTTTCAACTGAACTTGTAGAGTTTCCTTCTTGTACATCATCGTTGGATATTGCTTCTGTTTCCAAGCATGGACTGTCTCTTAATTCTAGATTAAAAGGTTCATCATCTGATAAGCTACTTCTTCTTGTTGAACTTTGTAAAGAATCGATAATATCATCAGTGTATTTTTTAATTTTATCTAATCTGTCTTTATTAGCAATTCTTGAAGGTGCATTTTTATTATCATATTTTTTCTCGGTACTAGCAGAATGTTGTATGCTTTTGATACTTGTACGTAAGATTTCTTCCAGTTCACGTTCCTCATCTAGAATGTCTTTATTTTGAGATTTTACGCTATTCTTCCTCAGTAGAATACTCGAAGAATCTATATTATAATTAATAATATTGTTGCTATCATTTTTATTTGTTCTTTTGCTTAAACTTCTACTTCTTTCAATTCTAGAAGGCATTGTTTTTTCTCTTTTATTATATTTTTCTCTGGCATCATTCTCTTCAGTATCTGAAGAAATTATTTTAATATTATCTGAATTGCTTTCAGCTTCATCTTTATCTAATTTCTCTTCTAGTTTATTTACAACAATAGTTTTTTCTAGAATATCTAGTTTTGTAGGAAAAAGATTTTTCTTATTTAAATTGTTACCCTTTGTATCTAAGTTTTTCGCAGATCCAGAAGAATTTTCTATACTTTCATTTCTTACTGAGGTATCATTTTCTTTAACCATGTTTGTATCTAAGATTTCTTCCAGTTCTTTTTCCTCATTTAGAATGTTTTTATTGTTAAAACTATCGTCATCTACCAGTTCGTTTGTTTTATTTGCTACATTCTGAGTTTTTACATTGGTCAAGCTATTCTTCCTTGAAGAATTAATATTATCATCATTAAAATTGTTACTATCATTTTTATTTGTTCTTTTGTCTAAACTTCTACTTCTTTTAATTCTAGATGCCAGTACTTTTTCTTTTTTATCATTCTTTTCTTTGTTTGAAATTTTAGCTCCATCTTTATCTAATTTATTTTTCAAGTTGACTTGAATTTCAGAACTGTTGCTATCAATATTGCCTTGTAAATTAATCGTATCCTCTTTATCATTCTCAATTTCTAAATCAGAAGTATCTCCCTTAGTTATGCTGCGTTTTCTTTCACTAATTTTTGAAAAAGAATCTTCGGTATTGCCGTCGACTTCAATTGTCATGCTTAGGCTGCTTTTACTTCTTGTAAGTCTAGAGGATATATCTCCAATGCTCATAATTTCGCTATCAGATCTTGACAATCTTCTATCAATGCTCCTTTTGCTTCTGGTAAGTCTCGAGTATTCTATTTCTGCCTCTGTTATAACATTTGTTGATTTATTATTGTCATTATTTCGTTCTATTGATATTTTACTTTTGGATTTTTTTTTAAAAATACATTCTATCCTCGATTGAAGTGGTATGTCTTCTAAATCGATTTCATCTGAAGTTTTTGGCGAATCTTTTTCAACGACTTTGTTTTTCAAACCTTTCAAGGAGTTTGATTCAATCACAGTTGCACTGATTAAATCTTCTTTGATGCCGTTTATTCTTTGTTTGCTCCTGGTTTTTTTCGGTGAAACGTTTTGGAAACTTGTATCGATTACCAGTTCTTCTAAGCTTGTTTTATTTCTAGTTCTTTTCTGGCAGACGTCATCAGTAATTCTGTCTTCTATATTTGTTTTACTTCTAGTTCTCTTCTGGGACATATCTTCTTCAGTATTCAGATCCTCCGATGCTCGCAATGAATTCATTCCAACAAGTTTGGTGGGCGTGGAGATTTCTGATAATAAAGCAGTTTTCAAATTTGAATCGTTCACTGGTTCTTCTAAATTTGTTTTAGTTCTAGTTTTCTTCTGGCGCACGTCATCATTAATTCTGTCTTCTATATTCGTTTTTCTTCTAGCTGTCTTCTGGGAAATATCTTTGTTAGTATTCAGATCCTTTGATAATTGCATTGAATTTATTTCAACAATTTTGGTAGGCGTGGAGATTTCAAAATTTGATTCGTTCATTGGTTCTTCTAAACTTGTTTTAATTCTAGTGCTTTTCCGGTAGACGTCATCATTATTTCTGTCTCCTATATTCGTTTTAATCCTTGTTCTTTTCTGGGAAATATCTTTGTTACTATTCAAATTTTCTGATACTTGTATTGAATTAGTTTCAACGGTATCAGTGAGTTTGGAGGTTTCAGAAATTAAATGTGTCATTTGTCCGTTTATTTTCGATAATCTTTTAGTTTTATTTAATGGTGGTCGATTTTGTTTCAATACTGTATCTTTCTTTGTAGAATCTAAAAGGTTTTTAACGTTTTGCGAATTAGTTTTAAATTCTAAGAGAGTTTTTTCGCCATTTTTAATTGGATCTACGTCTATATCGTTTACTGAATCTTTCACACTTTGTTTTTTGGATGTTTCCAAGGTTTTGAAAGAGCGATCGCCTGTTTTGGATGCATTTCTATTTTTTTCTGTTTGAGTAGATTGTATTTTTTTATTATCTTCATTAGTAGCTTTAATCGAAATACTTTTCTGTCCTTTATTGTCGTTAAGCTCTACTAGATCAATTTCTGCCGCTTTAATTTCATTTTTAGACTGTTTTAATTTTGTTGGTCTGCTTCTCAACAATCTATTATTTTCTTTAACTATAGATGTACTTGTATCGTTTTCTGATTTTGTTTTATTTTCTTTATTTACGTGTTTTGCTAGATTATCCTTCTGGTCTTCAATGCTACTATCAGCCGATATTGGTAGATCTGTTGCTTCAACATTTAATACACTATTCTCCTTATTTATTTTTCTTGGTCTACCCCTTTTTCGCTTATTACTCTCACCGATTCGATTGTCTATATTTTTCTCTTTTGTACAGTTTTGCTGTTTATCTGCATCTTCTTCTGTTCGATCACCAATAGATTTATCTAGATCACTGTCTAGTTTGCTAATTTTTCGCGACCTGTCTCTGGATTTATTATTAGGCGTGCTGGTGCTATTAGGTGATGAAATATCATTAACTTCGAACAGTTTCATGACCACATTCTCGGACAACTGCTTGCCAATAGGAGAAAAATCGATGGTGTGAGTCGCTTTCGGAAGATGGGGTTTTTGAAAGTATTCCGTTAGTTTTGCATTGGCCGCACTTTTAGATTTTCTTTTGAAGCTAAAATTGTCATATAAAATGCTCGTTTCATCTTCAGTTACATCCGTTTTAGATGTATCATCTAGAATTAGAGTGTCTCGAGATAATTCACAAGTAGATTCTAAACGAGAATCATGATCATCAGTGTAAACTTTTTGAATATCGACTAGCTCTAAAATCATTCCACAAGAAGCGATGTTTTTGTTTTGGTCTGGTAAATTTATCGGTTTTTTATTTGAAATTTGAGTCTTAGCGCTACTAGAAATATCAGTTTGTTGGTTTGGTTTCGATTTTACAGGTAACTGATATAACGTTACTTTTAGTTGCTTAGAATTGCCTTTGGGTTTTCTTTTCTCAACAGCAACTGAATTAATTTTATCAATACGTTTAACATTGTCGTCTATTTTTGAACATTCATCAGAAACCAGCTTCATTATTTTATCAATGCGTTTATTAACGTTTTTATTAACATTATCGTCCAGTTTTATTTGACTATTGAATTTTTTTATTTTTTCTGGTTTTCTATATTTATCAAATTCAGATAAATCTGTACACGAATTAGATTTTAGAATTATCTTGGGAACTTCAATATCTTCCGATTGTTTATTAGATTTTTTTAATTTTTCAGGCTTGCTACTCTTTTCAAAATCATCTAAATCTGTACAGGAATTAGATCTTAGAGTTCTTGCGGGAATGTCGAAGTCTACTTGAACTAATCCCAATTGACTATTAGATTTTTTCAATTTTTCAGGCTTGCTACACTTTTCAAAATCGTCTAAATCTGTACAGGAATTAGATCTTAGAGTTCTTGCGGGAATGTCGAAGTCTACTTCAATTATTCCCAATTGACTACTGGATTTTTTCAATTTTTCAGGCTTGCTACACTTTTCAAAATCATCTAAATCTGTACAGGAATTAGATCTTAGAGTTCTAGTGGGAACATCGAAGTCAACTTCAATAGTACCCGATTGACTATTAGATTTTTTCAATTTTTCGGACTCACTACATTTTTTTAAATCATTATCTAAATCTGCACAAGAATTAGAACTTAGATTTTTCGTGGGAACATCAAAATCAACTGCTGTCTTTTCTAAATCACTCGAATATTCTGAATTTTTATTTCGAGAATTTTCTAAGCTTTGTTTCTTGCTAATTTCTTCTTTACAGCTATTGGACGATCTTAAATTAGATTTTTCGCAAATTTTAGGATCCTCGTTCTGTGAATTTCTAGAGAGCCTGTTGGTTTTAATGCTGGTCGAATCAGACGCATTTTGAACAGTACAGTAATTAAATATTTCAACTTCGTGTTCTTCCAAGGTCAAACTATGATTAGCGATGATTCTTTCGTTTTTACCTTTACCGGAAGGCAACTTTTTGATCTGCTTCTCATTGGATTCCTTTTCGACATCCAATACTCTTCTTACTGGTTTATTAACTTCCGTTTGAGGTGTAGATTCTTTAGGAACATTACATTTTGTGGGAGAGCGAAGGTTGAGGTGCTTCTGGGGTTCGACTTTTATTCTGATATCGTTTATGCTGGAAAAATGCGTTTCCAAGTCGATGATGCACCAAGGTTCGTCAACGAATTGCAATTCTTGAATTGTGATTTCTCTGGCGTCTAATGTTTCGGTGTCTAAGACTTTGTCAATTTCCGGTAATGTTATATCAGCGATCGGGCAGGTCAAAGGGTTATCAGGTAAAGCAAAGCTTTCGATACGTTGTTTTTTCTCTGCAAGTCTCCTCGGATTAATGTAAGTTTTTAAAGGAAACTTTGATGGTACTGCGCTTATTAAATCGGAGCTTTGGTTCGCAGGTGTAGGTTTCGATATAATTTTATACGCTTTTGAGACATTCTCGGTTTGGGTATCGTCTGCGGATGAATTTGCGTTTGCGTTTTTGTTACTTTTGAAGTATTTTCTGTCATTTGCGTTTTTATTTATTCTCAAAGGTAACAATTGATCGGGTGATTTCAATGATTCTCTTGACTGCTCGATATTATCACTGCCCGAGCTGAGGGCTGTATTCTGTTAAAAAATAATGTTCATTATAATTAAATGAAATATATCCAAAATGAAAATGTTCTGAGATATTAAATCATTAAATAATAATAGGTATAGGAATAAATATATCATACATAAGAAAGGCGACAAAAGGAGTCCCATAAACTACCATCCAGTCAGTATTACAAGCTGTATCGATAAATCAATGTAAAAGATTACAAAAGAAGTAACCAACAATCAGCATGGATTTACGTCCAAAAGGTGCAGTTAACTGGTGGACAGCTTAGAATAACAACAACCAGCTAAATTATGTGATATATCTTGATTATGAGAAAGCTTTTGGTAAAGTTCCACATAGAAGGCTGCTTAGCAAACTGGAACATTATGGAACAAAAGGGAATCTATTATTGTGGATTAAGAGTTTCTTATTCAACCAGCAGTTCTGCAGAAGAATAAATGAACAGCTGTCAAACAACCATCTAGTGGAAAGTGGAGTACCACAAGGTTCTGTCTTATACGCCAGCAATTTATGTAAAATCATGAAGCTTAAAGCCAACTTGAATAAAATAGGAATCTGCTCCCAGTAATGGCTACTATCCCTCAACATAAATAAGTGTACAGTATTGCACATTGGCCCAAATAATCCCCACACACAGTACACCATAGATACAAACGCAATAACTCCAGTTGAAATACAAAAGGATCTTAATGTAATCATAGACTTAAAATGGGAAAACCGCATTGCTAATATAGTACAGAAAATCAACAGTCTTATTTAATTTATCAAAAGACTTTTGAATACCATTCTGAAGATATGTTTATGTAACTGTACACAACATACATAAGACCAAAGATAAAATTTGCACAGACTGTTTGGGATCCATATTTTGTTAAAGACATTGAACTGGTGGAAAGAGTACAAAGGAGAGACACCAAACTACCACCAACCCTGTAAAACAATGAGTATTGTGATTGGATAGCCAAACTAAAACTCCAAAGTTTAAAGGATAGAAGAACTAGAGGAGACTTGATAGAAACTTATAAGTGGAGTAGTGGATATTACACCTGTGACAACACCTTTCAGTCCAGCACATCAAGAACCTTGAGAGGTCACTCAAAGAAATTAGATAAAGGAAAGTGTAATAAACTGTAAAGAAGAAATTTCATAAACCAATTCAAGGTGAAAATGGATAAAAAAACTCGAAGAAGTAAGAAATCATTTTGTTCATTATAGTTTATAGTATATTAAGTTTTAATTGTCATGTAGTAAATTTAGAATAATTTTTGCCACTAACTAAAAGAGCAGCTTCATCGAGTATGTCGCTTGCCTGTTTTTAATAATAATAATTTCAGTCTTGATAAACCTTCGCAGTACTACAATAAGTGTTCTGCAGTTACCTCTTCTGTTAGACCGATATTATGCATTTATCTGTTAAGCCTATAATGCCCTGTTAATAGATCTACTAAAGCCACTAGGACTTTAGTAGATGCTCAGTGAGTTTAGGTGATGGTCCTTTTAAGAACTCTTTGGCCTGTCTGTCCTGGTGATTTTTCCACCATTCCTGAGATTTTTTAAACATTCACTGCTTTTGCAATTCCACAATAGGATTCTGGGCCAATAAGAGCATTTGAAGCTCCTTCTCAGGTTAGTAAATCAGCCTTTTGGTTGCATTTATGTCCTCTGTGGCCTGGTAACCAGGTTAAGGTTAGTCTGTTGTGAAAGGGTTAAAAAACTCATTAATAATAAATGAAGAGTAGTCAGGCTAACTCATCTAAGTGCCAAAATATTAATTTTTGTTTCTTTTTTATCAATATGATCTATCTACCAGTGCCAATGTGCCACTAAAAGATATGAGTGCCAATTTCATTGTAGTGGTTGAATTCGACATTGAAGGTGGAGGTTGCCTGTATGTTCTGCATTAAAATCTCCACAGTTTTCTTTGTATTCCGGCAATTATTAATTTTGGCACTTAAATCACTTAGCTCGACAACTCTTCAAATATATTCCAAACTGTACAAAAAAGATTAAAAGACAGCTTAGAAATAGAACAAAGTTTTAATAGTTCTAAAATATGGTGAAATTTAAACATTAACTTATACATACAATTTGAGAAATTTGAAAGGCTTTCTATGAATTATCTGTGAAAAATAGTTGTTAACAATTTGGAAAATAAATTATCATTACACGAAACTTTAAACTGTAGAATGTTAAAAGAGTATTCAAAACTATTGGTCATGTCATATTAAATCTAGTAAAAATCAGTACAGTTATACATATTCAGAAAATAATTAATTCCAATAATGCTGATGAATTTAGACCAATAAATGCATTGCATCCAATAGAAAAAATTATAGAAATTGCTGTTTATATTCAATTAATGAATCATGTTTCTGAAAATTCAATCCTGATATGTAACCAGTCCGGTTTTGAAAAGAAAAAAAAAAATTGCCTGTGCACTACAACTTACAACATTCAAACTAAATTAGTAGTTATTACATGTTATTTTAATATTGTTGTACGTCTATTCAATTAAAACATTTATTGCAGAGTGTGAGGCAAATAGATTGTAAGTAATGAGGATTATCAATGTATTCTTAAATTTAAATAAAAACTATTGAATGACATTCTCTTCAGTAACTTTTAAAGATATATTTTTTGAGGAGAAAACCATAAATTATTCTAAAAGTAGGTAAATTCTTCAAATCTGAGTGACAATGTTTCATCAAGTGTCCCTGAACAGGCTAAGATACTTCTGGGTGAATATAACCAGAAAAGTCCATAAACTTGTATATGTCTAAGCAAGAACAGGCTACACATTGTAACAGGGATCCTTACTGGGTATGGTCGACTCAAGGAACACCTCAGTAAACTGAGAGTAGTAGAAGATAGTGTAAATTCTGTGAGGAGGACGGAAAATCCACTCACATTCTGATTGAATGTATAGCACTCTAGAATCCAAGGGCACTATACCTAGGAGCATATCAAATAGAAGAGGGAGATTTACCTAACTTGAATCCACTACAAATCCTGCACTTCCTTGAGAAGATAGATAGGATTGGAATGATCATTATAGGCATCAAGACATTTCTTTGCTGCATTAGTGACATAAGTGGACACAATAAATTTTTTACAATGCAGTGTATTAACACCCCATTTCCAACATAACATAACAAGTGTCCCTGAACAATTGTCTAAGTCTGGTAGTATAGATTTCACAACACAGATACATATCCCAAAGCAGACCTCACATAATAAATATGTTTATCTTTACTTAACATTGTAACTAATTTATTCCATATTTATACTTTAGATCAAATATTGTTCATTAATTCAATAGCTAATCATCAATGAAGCCCTCAGTTTAATTACAATATCATTTTTTACATTGAAGCATTTTTTTTGTTTAGTATCTAAAGATCATCTAACTGTACTCTTTATCTACAGTTTAAATAATAAACTTACTTCATCATATTCTTTATTATATAATTCCAGCCCATTTGAATTATTGTGTTTTAAATCATTGGTACTTGGTAACTTTGGTGACGATTCTGGTACTTCAGAGTTTTGTAAATTTTGAAGGCGGATACTCCTTCTCTTAAGCTTGGATTCAAGAATATCTTCATTATCGTATTTTAATGTGTTTTTCCCATCGGGATCCATTTCATTTTCCATAGAAAATTTCCTAAAATATGGAAAGTTAGGTTAACTTTCCGGATGTTGGTTTATTCAAACTATCAAGGAGCATACTTAAACGCAAACGATTCAACACAAAAATATATTCAACTTAAAATAATTTGGGTCTTAATTAACATTTTTCGTATATTTGAAAGTTCATTATGTTATAGTTCATTTTTTGGAAAGGTCGCATTGTTATAGAATTACATATAATAGGTACCTAACGTTTTTCAATATTTATCATAGAGTTGCATATTATTCCAGATTATAAAATTAATTATTTTTAGCAAATTTAATAATTAAAAGTAACAATAAATACACCGTTCACAACATTTCCCTCTTCAAAACAGCAAACAGCAAATTAGCATGAAGTTTGCAGTTTTGCTGTCAAATGTTTGACGGCGTTTGACGTTTACACATTGGCCGATTCCTTTCCTCAATTTGTGTCCTACGTTATCACTAGAAATATTTTAAAAATTTTATATTTTTGCATTTTGTCCAAAAGGTAAACTTTGTTATCAACTAGAATATAAAAAAGGTCAAATCATGCATGCCTTGACTTATTTGCAATCCAGTCACCTATTAATTTTTTTAAAAAGAAGATTATTCATTAATTTGAATTTTTTTATAATTTTGTACCTTTTTGAATATATTTTTATTCTTGTTTAAAATTTCATATATTCTATACATTGAATCAATACTGGTTGCCTAACTGGTTGTAGGTTTTAATCGAATAGCGAATAAAAGGTATATTAGTCATAGATCTAGCTTATCGTTTATCGCAATTTGAGGATCACAGATATGAACTTATCAATCAAAGAAAGTTTGGCAGTGAGCGAGGAAATAAGTTTCTTTGTTCGACAACTTTTGAATTAAACCTAAAGTGAAAACAATGCCGTGGTGGAAAACAAGTAAAACAAATGATGACCAACAAAAGTATGTACTTTTTTAATATTTATGTATATTCTAGGCTTTATTCAGTAATAGTAACTGATAAAATTAAATTACCAATGTTCTCGTTTTATATTTTAAAAAACCTTATAGGTATAATGCACTGAACTGTTGTAACAGTATAGAGTTCAGTGGTATAATGAAATATTTCAATCGGCTTCTGATGCTGATGATGCAAACTTAGTTAATGAAACGTCGGAATAGTACAAAATCGGTCGATAACGTAAACATAAGAAATAACCTAACTATATTACGAGTAAAGCTTAATTTATAACCGCCGTAACGTAACTTAAGAACTTAACGTAAGAAGTTGAAATATTGAATTTACGTATACTTATTTATAATGTTCGTAACGTAACTTAAGAACTTAATGTACAGTAGAAAGTATGCGAAAAATAGAACCTTTGCTAGGCATTCCAAACAAAATGGCTACCAGTGGGTTTTGACAGATTATGATATGGCAACCCTGTAGGCCAGGTGATTTGACAGAGTCAATGAAAAAATAGTTATATAGATTGATCATCCATGTTTTTCAAAATAGACATAAGCTTAAGCCTTGAAGTAAAAATGTTGGTAATTATTTTTTTTACTATATTCAAAGGCTTAAAATTGGTTTTAAAACACTTTTTCTAAACTGATTCAAATTAATGAACTTGCCAGATAATATGGCCGCTCGCAAACGACCCGCTTTGAGCAATCTATATAACTATATGTACCATTGACCCTGTCAATGACAACAGGTCCACAGGGTTGCCATATCTAAACTGTCAGTTCCCACTTGTCAGCATTTTGACAAGTCGTTGAAATGCCTATTTTCCAATGAAGTGGAGAGGGGTAGAATGATAACTGTCAATGAAAAAGTCTGGACACTATGCACAATTTCGTTTTGCACATTTTGTAAACAAAATTCAGGGACGGTTTAACAACATTTTGTGCAACAATTATAAAATAGTGCATCGAAAAATAATTAACAAGTATAATTTAATACTAAATCGGAATAAAAGCATAAAAAATCATAAATATAAGCAAGAGAACAAAGAATTGACGCCAAAAAAGCTTACAACAGCCAAAACACAAACAAAAAACAGAGCTGAACATTAACATAATCGCTGAATAAAGTCGATCCTGGAATTTGTTTACAGTGCTTTAGGGCAACCTCTCCTTGTCATTTACGTGTGTAAGAGTGGAAGGCTGAATCACGCATAATTTCTACACTCGTGATGGATGCGCAGACGGTACCTTATCGTTCTACCCTCTCTACTTCTTTGCTATTTTCGCGGCATAAACCAATATGGACGTTTGATAGATTGTTACTTAGACATGTATAAATAACATAAATACCTACCTTTAGATGTAGTTTTTTTTTAATTATACAAACCTTGCTGTACCCCAACGACGAATAACTTTAGCCTAATGCTCATATTCATCAATCGCAATCCATGGGCGTCTTCAGATTTTTTTCCAGGGGAGCAAATATATAATTTTGTGAACCTAACCTTAAAATCATACATGCTTAATTTTATTTAATAGATGAAAAGTTTGAACCTTACTTTATTCATATTTCATATAAAAAGATATTTAGAAATTTGCGAATAAAGAGAATGAGAGCATTTGCTCCCCTTGACGCCCCCATGTCACAATTAAACTTAGCAAAGCCATTCGTCATTTTTTCAGTTTAATTGATCTTTATTATTGTTTTTTTACAGAGGTCAGGTCAGTAGAATTGTTGAAACAACTGAGAGGTAAAGATAATAATAATAATAATAATAATAAAAAAATGTAATAAGTTTTTAATAAACATGTTTTTCAGAAGAAGAACTGTTGGTGCTTCATCATCATATTCATCAACAACGATAACCTCCTTTTCTCACTCATTAGAGACTATTCAAAGTGGAAGTCAAAGTGAGTTTCTCAATGGGTAAACCTAATTATTAATATATACTGTTGCTGCGTTTAAATACCCACATCCGATGCATGTTTTACATCTCGAGCGTTTGTTTATCCACATCGGACACATCTGTCCCACTACATTTACATATAATGAATCACGTGATCGAAGATTCACATCTCAGATGCATCCGATGTGGATATTCAAACGAAAAGAGAATACCTACGCTATATTAGTGATGACGTAGTTTGTGTGCCACCGACAATGACCGTAGACTTTTAAAAATGGAGGTTATTATTATATATTCATTAACATTTTATTTCTACTATTTTCAATATTTCATTTATTTAAACATTAAAAATAATTTGATTAAATATCTACCTTTAAAAATTATTTAAAAAACTAAGAACGTATAGGTCAAATTCGATAACAAAAACGATTGTTTTTGTTAAAAGTTAATTTGTCAGTGAAACACAAAGTACGTCACACTGATATAGCGTATTGGTATTTTGAAAATAACTTATTTATATTTTATCAGATAGTTTAAGTAGATAAAAATTATCATATTGTTGATATCGATTTTTATATGTCTAGAAGAATAGAAAAGATAACGGTATTTTTTTATAAAAGCATACATTTATGGAAATATAATTAGTATACGAACAATGAAATAAGCATTTCAAACAAAAATTACAGGAGTACACCACTATTATGTGCTCAAGAAATTTTGATTATTTTAAAACGATAAAAAATATAACTATAACAAATTATTATTAGTCACTACCTACTTATCTTTAATCGACAGATTTAAAGTTTTTTAAAAGTATTTTCATTTGAATGTTCAAGAAGCTTGGTCACATAACCTTTCTAAAGCGGGATAAAATTACTAAGATGTTGTGACTGCGTTCCGTTTAAAAACGGTTTTGAGAAAAAAGTAAAATGCATGACGTAAGCGATATATTATATTGAACTTGTTGTTGGTGTATTATTTTTTCTATTTGAATTAATTGCTCGGTTTGGAATTCAGAGTTGGGTTCGCCTGATGTATAAATTAAAATACGTTGGATATATTTCCAACAATAAGTTTTCAAACATTTTGGCGACATGTGCTATGTTTAATATTATATCTTTGATCTGTTTAAGTTTATTTTAATTGTAGGTCAAATACAGAACAGAACAATTAGTGGAAATCAGCTTCCATCAACGTCATCCACACTTTCTCAAATACCTTATAGAAGATTGACTACTGACGCTATACCATTCGTACCCAACTACCAAAGTCCTTTTCAGCGAAGTGGGCTTTACAGTAAGTATCCATTAATTCATCACTTCGAACTAAAAGGTTCGATCGTTCCTTCAATAGAATCAAAGGATTTAAGATGTTTTACCTTCGTAGACGAGTTGTTCGGGATTCTTCAAAATTCGAATCACTATTAAATTAAACTTTGAAAATTATTTACAAATTTATAGATAGTGCACGGCCAATATCGAACGTACCAGCTATATCAATATCAACTAATAGAGCTACAAGTGGCATTAATACGCCAACATCAACTAATAGAGCTACAAGCGGTATTAATACGCCAACATCAGCTAATAGAGCTACAAGTGGTATTAATTCTTGGAGTCGGGCTCCGATTTCAGCAACACAAAGTACAACGAATAGAGCTAGAAGTGGTATAAATACATCAACTAATAGAGCTACAAGTAGTATTAATACGCCAACATCAACTAATAGAGCTACAAGCGGTATTAATACGCCAACATCAGCTAATAGAGCTACAAGTGGTATTAATTCTTGGAGTCGGGCTCCGATTTCAGCAACACAAAGTACAACGAATAGCTCAAAAGTGGTGGCCTGTTACAATACAAGCGGTAAAAATAGGGGCAACGTGCTGATAATAAATATTATTAATTTTATGGACAACAATGAAGATAGAGAAGGGGCAGAATTAGATGAACGAGATGCTTGTAAGCTATTTAAAGATATGGGATTTGCTGTTGAAAAGTATAGGAATTTAAAACTTTCTGTAAGTACCTATTGTAATTTTAAACTGATTAATTTAAAAAAATATTACAGTACGAAGTCAAGGTCATTTTTAATAGACGAAAATTCTCGAAGAAAATAACTATAGATAATCATATAGTGTAATTTGGTATAGCATAACATAAATATTAAAATCTTGCACCATGTGTCAAAAAAAAAATCAAAGCGATGCACCCAATTACAGAAATAATAAATCATTGCCATATTTAAATGATGATCATTATATTTACCAAACATTTTAGGAAATGAAGAAAAAAATAGAGTCATTTAAAAATAGTAGAGCACTTGCCAATGGGGACATATCCGTAGTTATGATTATGAGCCACGGCACTAACAAGGATAACAATAATATACCTGTATCAGGAAGTTTTACACAAATAGTTACTTATGACGGAAAATTTTTGGATACAGAAGAGGTAGTGGCAGAATTTTCAGCCGAAAATTGTCCCGGTATGAAAGGCAAACCAAAGATCTTCATATTTCAATGTTGCAGGTGAGAAAATTTTAGCATACATCTAAGCGAAAAATAGAAAATAACTACACATCATTTCTTGTACATTGCTTTTATAAAAAAATCTCTTTGATTATCTGATTATGTACTTATTTATGTATTGTTTTCAGAGGCGATGAGGCGGAATTAAAAGTCGATTGTATACGGAGAAGAAGAAATGTAACAAAGGACCATGCCGATATGTTGATTGCCTTTTCAACGCTTCCAAGTAATATTTTTTTTTTAAGTTTTCGTTGACACAACACCATAGAAAGCATGAAAAGTGGTGTCGTCACGACTTGTGCTGACGACACTGAATAGTAATGCATTAAAAAACATTTCCATACGTCAACTGTCAATATAGACAATTCAATTCCTCTGATTTTAAATGGTCAACAAATGACATTTTTTTAAAAAAATTGTTGATATGGTTGGAAGATAATTATTGAGCTGTTTAAAAATTGAGAAAACAAAATCTAGTCTAGTCTATATCGCAATACCTTTCTAATGATGTATCACACATGGTAAAGTCTCTATTCAAAATTAAGGGGTTAAAGAAGTGGAAGGGAGGGGTTGACACATGACAGATATCTGTATTGTAAAAATGTGTCACTTTTTGAATAAAAATGTTTCAACATTTTCTTAAATAACAGGATGTCCCATTCTTATAGCTGATATTTTTGTTTTAGACTTTTACTCCATCAGAGATCCTCAAAAAGGCAGTTGGTACATACAATGTATCTGCAAAGTGTTCAGAGAACATGCCAAGGAACATCACGTGGAAGATCTTTTAAAAATTGTCGATACGGAAATGTCAAATATGCACAAGAATCACGTACAAACGTCAACTTACGAGAGTCGAGGATTTAATAAACAATGTTTTTTCAATCCAAGATGGTAGAAAAAAGGAATTGTGATTTAACTAATTAAGTGGGTATAAGGTATAAACAGTTTTTACAGCTTGAATTGAATTCGGCCTTGATCTGGTTTGAACCACATCCAAACAAACTGAAAGGATAAATAAAAAGAGATTCAAAATTATCTTGAAAAAAGTACTTCTTTTCTAAGCTCCTAAATGTCCATTTGAGACGTCCGACTGGTTTTATTTCCTTTCTTCTGTTTTGATTTGGTCCTGAATTACTAAAAGTGTTGCTTGCACAAAGTACCATACATTGCATTAACAGATAATGTAACCTTTTCATGTTGTACTGGGTTAATTAAAATGTAAAAGGCTGTAACTATATTATGCTCCTGATTTAAGACTGTTATACATTAATGTGTTCCATTTCGTACAAATAAATAGCAGTATTTTTATTATTATAAAATCGATGACGTAATTTAAGTGTCCAATTAAGGTATGCTAGAAAACATTCACATATATACATACAGTTTTTAGTTTTCTGAATAACCAATAACTAAATTTATTTATTATTCATTTTACAAAGAAAATTATTCTTCATAAATCATATAGAAATCAAGAATAAAATTTATAAAATAATTAGTGGTAAATAATAATAATAATAAAAACACCTTTTCTTTTATGTCTTGATTTATCTCCATAAATTCAGCGAATTCTTCCAAATCACTTCTGCATATTTTTGAGATACTTTTACATTATATTTACAAATATTTTGTTCTATAATTAAATATAAGAACACCTTACTCTTCAGCATAAATCAATATTTTTGATTCTCCCTGTATTATTACTAAATATTTTCCAAATTTAATTCTAAATTATTGATTTTTTATGCGATGCAGAACTGTTTTTGTAAAATTAAAATAATAAACAAATTTCCAATTTGTTGTCAACTTTTTCACACATACTGTGTAAAATATTATAAAACGTATTCAACAAATACCATCAAATTGGTTTTAGACTCAAATAACGGTCGACTTTCAAAATAAGTATTGTTATAAATTTATTTTATAATTAATTTCGAAGCATACATTGGGCGCCAAATATGTAACTCGATTGTATTAGTGCTCTTAAAACAAAACAAAATGTGATAAATAATTTTAAGATTGTTTGTAAAATACATGTCAATTTAGTAAGCCTTGAAAATAATGTAAAAATATGGATGAAATAAAAGCCCTTATATCGATTATTGCCGATTTTATTTTCGTGTTCTATGAAAATTCACATAAAATATGTATCGGGAGTGGTATGGTAAGTCTTAAATTAAAATTGCGCGAATCGTTCTTAAAAAAACACAAAAATTAAATAAAAATAAATACAAATTTATTTAACAACTAAAAAAAAGCACTTAAAATTAATTAAAATACACCGAAAAAAAGCTTTACTGTAGAATCGTCTGCTCTAAAATGTTTGCGGCCGAATATCTTTATACAACTTTGTGATGTAGAAGGAAAAAAATTGGATTGCTGGAACTGTAAAAGACCAGAGGAAGGTTGGAGCAGAGCGGGGGATAGGAAATAAACAAGATGGATAAGGAATTAAAAATTACAACATAAATCAATTCAAAAAGGCTTAGAATAGATATTTAAGATATTCGACCACACGCACGCATGATTGTGATAGATATACTCTTCAATGCAATATTTTGAAAAATCTCAATGAGCTTGGAAATGTCATTTGGATTATTTTTTTTATAAAAAGGGACAATTTCGAACTTAAATTCTTATCTGTGCCGATGACTTGGTAGAGAGTTAGGATTTTACAATCAATATTATTATTATTATTATTGTATTTTTCGAACTGTCTGCTCAAAATATCCGGTATAAATATTGTATTGTCCCGAAATGTACAAATACGATAACTACACCAAATAGAGTATTTATGAGTGTGCCAAAAGGAGAGAAACTAAAGAAACAGTGATGTAATACAATAAAGAGAAAAATAAAATAAAACAAAGTTCTTTCGGGTACATGTAATTGGTTTTGTTGTGAAGATCATTTTGAGGTAAGTTAATTTTAAGTAAGTTAAAGTAGTATTTTTAGTCGCACTAGTACACGTGCTTATTTACAGGGTCTGCTACTGCTAAATTCAAATGTCTATAATAAATTCATTTGAATAGTTAGTCCCTCCCTCTGTCTCTCTCATAGATTGGATTTTAGCACTTATAAAATGGTTGTGGCAAAATAACTAGCTATTGTCAGGGAATCTGTTTGAGACAAATCGTCTGACTGGCCACGAACAAATCCCTGCTCCATTGTTATTAAAAAGTCAACTCGCAACAAAATACTGACTAGTCGGTAGCATTTTATAGAACTGCTCTCCTATACAATCGGCGCTGATGATGTAGCGCTTAACTGGGACGGCATCCCGGGCGTTATATAATAACCCCCAGACTTTGAAAGCTTATAAGTTCGATAATACTTTGAAATAAACGCCATTGCTTTTGTAAAATTAAGTTGTATATTTATTTTTGATAAAAAATATACTTTTTCTTTCATTTTCCAAGCCCATTGATTATAAACCGTGATGATTAAAATTAAATTAAGACATACAACTTTTTATGATTAAATTAAATCAAAATAACTACGTCCTTCTATTATATTAATTTTCTACAATTTTAGATTAATTTTTTTCAAAGGTGCCTATTGGGTCTCAAAATTATATTTAACTAGATTTAATCCCTAAAAATATGAATACATTTTCATATATACTCAAATAGTTTCATAAAAAATTAAATTTAATTACTAGAGAATTTCTAAAACCCAACAGTTACCGGTATAGCTTTAAATATAATTAAATCACATATTTTGAGCTAGGTATTATATACATTGTGTTAATAATTTTAATTTTTCACGTGTAAAATGGCATTAAACGAAGAACTATAGGGCATTGTCCAGAGATTTTAAATGATCTTGCTATTGTGCCTCCTAGTTTAAGACTTCGTTCGCCTAAATTTGGCAAAAATTACAATCTAGTGACTAGATCATGTAAAATACAAGAATTAAAATATACATTATTTATGGCACGCAACAATTAAATCATAACCACTCAATTTCGGTATCACGGTAAAATAAATAAATATCATGAAAATTTATACAAATATAAAGTCTTTTGAGCAATTCTTTCCGTTCGATCGAACATTTTAATGTTTTATCCGGAAAAAACTACTAGCGCACGTGAAATTCTTCATTGCAACTTCAAGCAATAAATAAAATCGTTTTTTTGTACAGGATCTACCAGATATAGTCCGTTAGCGAGATATTCGTTTTATACAACCTACTTTTTACATTTCTTCAAAACACTTTGATTACAATATCGCTATCTATACTGCATACAGGATAATCTAATATCTTCGGCTTTATAAGAGATATAAAAAAAAAGTTTGCAGAATGGAAGACAGCATTAAATTTCATATATTTTAAAATTATTTTCGAATATGTATGATGATGTTATCGAATAGATTAGCCCAGAATATTGTAGACCCCAGACTATTACTTTCCCATATTAAAAACTATCTTTGAATAGTTCTGTGCCTTTGGTTAGTTTTACTAGGTTCCCTACCAAGTCAGAGTATAGTTAACACAAGAGATCGCACTTAAATGTCAATCGATCTAAAAGTCTGACCTTAAAAATTCAAAATATTTTACGCGGGTAAAATGTATCTAATCTAATAGTGGATTTGATTTGTTGCACTAGGTGTAAGTTTTCTGCACTAATCGCATTTGATTTGTTCAGTGTAGCTTCAAATATTTGACACTAGCACACGTGTAGCATAAACTTTTGACAAGTATGACAGTTCGAATACAGTGTCGAGTGTCACACTAGTGCAACAAATAAAATCCACTATAATATAACCCAGCTTTTTGATAATTTCTCATTTTGGTTTAAACATTTATTTGTAAACGAATTAGATCTGTATTTTTTTAATGCAAATTACATCATAAAGGTCTGTGCAGTGAAAAACTGCAACAATACTAATCAATTTTCTAGATGTCATTTTTCTCATGTGACAGCAACCAATGTTCTGATTGGTGACGCCAGACTAGTCAAAAATACTCCAGACCAATAGGGAGGTGGCATCGAGGGCAACATTTTAAAAACAAAAAAAACATAAATTATGTAATAATCACACTAATTTTGTCTTATTTTTAACTTTTAGATGTCATTTTTCTCATGTGTCAGCAACCAACGTGCTGATTGTTAACCCCTGACTTGTCAAAAATACCCCAGACCAGAATTTAACATGGGAAGTATAGGGAGTGACAGGCCTTTGACCAAGTGTTCCTAGGGCGATCTTTCCTGTTTTAAAATGAAAGAGGTGAGTAAGTCGCCACCTAGCAAGAGCTTCACATTCGAAAATGGTATAAGGTTGCTTCCACACGTGGATGGGATCATTGCTTAATCCCATCATATTAAGATGTTTCAGCAAGCAGTGTCCCATCAGTAATCCCGCAATGGTGGATATATAAGGCCATGCGTGGGTTTGATTCCGTGAGCACGAGCTTACTGATTCTGTATCAGTTGCCAGTGAATTTGGTGTTTTGTAGTTTGTTATCCATCTGTTCACTGCCTGTCGAGTAGAGATTTAAAAATGTACCACCCTCCATCCATCACTTTTGGAAAAAATGTTATCCGATCGATAGATATTAATTAAATTGTGTGCTGCATTGAGGTAAAAATACAGGGTGGTTCGTTAAAAAAACATAATTTTGTTTCAGACTGAAGTTATTAATATCATGTATATTTAAAAATAGTTTTAAAATATCGAGTATATTGCTGCCTACCGTTCGGTACATATTTTCGTTTAATATCTTTAATAGTGCTCGAGATATTGAACTTTTTTTACACTAATATATCTATCCTGTACATAAAAATTTTAATTAGAGTTCTGATTATAATTGAAACTGTTAAAATTTTTAATGAAAGAAAGTTGTTATTTTTTTCAATAATTAGCAATCAAGAAATTCACGTACAAAATTCAAACTAATACTAAGTATCACACAATGTTTCATCTGGTTTGAAATATTTTAAGAGTATGTTGCTTATTGGAAAAATTTCGGAATACGCGAACGCCTTATTATAATGTGTGTTCGTTTTTGTTATATACAATGTTGATATAAACATTTATTTGAAAGTACAAATCGTCAAGAATTCAAGCAGCTGCAGTAAAAACTGATTCACAATTTATTTATTACAAATTTCCATATTGATATCGATTAGACTCTTGTTTTTAAACATTTCATGTGAATGTCGTTTGCATCATACCCCATTATCAATAATTTAAATAACTCTGGACAACTCACAGATTGTATATTTAAATTATATAAATGGCCTGTCAACTGTCATAATAACGATAGTTTCCTATGCAATGTTTTTTTTAGTCTTTATGTAAGCTCCTTTAGCAGCTGTAAACAAACGACAAGCTATATCAGATTTAAATATACAATACGATGCAAATGAAAGGAATTCATTCATTATTTCGTAATTCATTGACTTCTAAAACCTTTCGATTATTATTGTTACGAATTAATATAACACCCTGTGAATAAGTATGTTATGATTTGTAAAGTTTTGTCCGAGGGCAGGCGCGCTAAACATATATTCAATAAAATAATAAAACGTGTAGTTGGACAAGGTTTTATTAAATTCTTGAAACATTACCAGTAAAATTTCGGGAGTTCCTTTTGGTCTTTGTTGACGAGCGGTCGAAATTATTCGAATTAAGGGGATTCCTTTTTTGTATCCGAAAGTAGAGTCACGGGTCGCGGTTAGTTTTTTTTTGTAGAACCATAGTGATAAAAGTAACGTGTGCTTCCGCCAGCCTTGCAGCCCAATAGATAGAATACAATGCTTAGGTAAGTAAATAGTTTTAAGTAGTTATATTTAGTTATTGTGTAGTCAGTAAAGACTACGTGATTGCGGAAGCAATATTTGTTGTTTTTATTTGTTAAATAAATCACAGTTATTTGTTTTACGCTTGTTTCAATTTTCTTTGATTTATGAAAACTTACGATCATTCAAAGGCGGGGGTATTGGCTTAATCCGATCTCTGAGAGAGAGAGAGAGAGAGAGAGATACTGCCAAAAGGAATAGTTCCTGTAGGGCAAACCCTTTCCCCGTCCTCTGAATCATCGTCAGGAAGTTAGGGTTCCTTTTGAACTTAACCCCCTAGCCGTGTGTTGTCTAGAGGCCAATTTAAATACAAATTAGGCCCCTCTATATAACTCGTGGTTACTGCTAAGAGTGGACTTAAGAGTCAGTCAAAAAGGCCTATAATATCACTCTTAACATTATTTTCAAATAAATGATTTGTCAAAATAATGAATTTATTCCTATAATTTCCTTCATATTGTATATTTTAACAATATAGAAATGTCCTGCATGCGAAATTCCTAATTACCTAACAAAAACGAACACGTTTAAGAAATAAAAAATCGGATGTTTTGAAAAAATGCAATATCTTCATCTTTCATTGGGCGAAAAAGTCTTTAAATAATAAAGTTGAATGGATTTTTGAATCTACGTGCTAGGAAAAGTCGAATTTTCACTATTAGTAATGAACAAGAAAATTCATTTGGTAGTGTTTTGGTTATTTTTCTATTCAAGGTTGCAAGTAAAATTAAGCATCTCATCTTTATTTCAGAGGAATTATAGGTTAACATAACGTTAGCCTGCGGCCGTTATAGTAAAAGTACAAATAAAAGAGGAAGAGAGTAGAAATGTCATTCTGTGTCAAGAAACATATAGAAGGTTCGAGAAAGTTTAAGAGAACTATATAAGTCGATCATCCTGACGTCAAAGTTTCAGTTTAATGCTAGACGTGGTACGTGAATGAGTTGTCAAATTTGTTAATTAAATTTACCAAAAACCAGAGTAACAATATTGTATGACAGCTTTTAATTATAATACTGAAGGGATTTGGTTCTATAAATCGTGATTTAGCACCTTCTTTAGTAAGTAAAATACTTAGAAAGTTGACCAATTTTCTAGATATTTATAGAGGTAACATCATAAATGGAAAGCCTAGAAGAAATGTATAAAGACTAAACAATTTCAACAACTGTAACCCACTGGAAAACCAAATACTCAAAAGTCTCCAGATACAGTTTCTTTAAAATATGAAGGGAAGAAGAAGACATTGGATTTCATCCAAACAAAGACTCACCTTATATCTATATAATATTGAAAAAAAAAAGTTTAATAGAAGCTGCGAAATACTTTTAATACGACTAAAGTACAGATTGCTAGCATCTTCAAGAACCTTTATGTACAACGATTACCAATGAAATACCCCCTTTTTTTTGGAAAATTTTACCTATAAATATTATTTATATGATATGTTGTCGTAAAAACATTTTAGTTTATCTATTTTTTTGACAATGTAACTTTAAAATTCATCATGTATTTCTTCAGTTACTATATACCGTTAAAAATATAATAAATTCCTAATTTTAATTTTTTTCTTTCAATTAATCAACAACACAAATTTGATCACAACATAAATACATTCTAGATAACCGGCAAGTCATTGAGACAAGCCACTAAACGATAAGACAAGATTAACAAGTCAGTAGTATCTTACGAAAATTTTATGATAAAGCGTTTAAATATTAGAATAATCAGGGGGTGATAACATACCAAAGAAACTTTGAAATATTGAAAAAAATTCTGCTCTGGGCGGGGCTCGAAAATATTAAAATAATATTGATTTAATGTCACAACGTTATGAACTCATCTCAACAAAAAGCCTGTCGACAAACTGTTCACATCTTTTAGCCAATCTACAAATTTTGGTACTCAAGGTACCAATTAAATAAAAAAATTAACAACATTTAAAATCGTACTGACAATACAAGGTGAATCCTAAGTTGACAATTTTTTTAATTATATATATTAGTCATTAAATTTAACAACTTTAAAAAAAATCAAAAATGGAATAATCCATGTGTTATCCCCAGGAGCCACTCATAAATTTCCTGTTATTCTTTGAACATCGATGTGCATTACAATATTCGTGAGACAGACTTTTATTAATTCGTTTAATTTTTTATACACAAATTCAGGTCCGGTTAAGATTTATTATTTTTTTTATTTTACTTAGAATTCACCCCGTATATCGAATAATTTTCTTATGTGAGATCCGTTTATATTCTTAAAAAAAAAGAACAATTCATGCGGCTCGTTTTTCCAGTACGAGATCCATATTAAAAACAACGAAACAACGTTTCCTTGAGCAATGCAATTTTTTTATATTCATATAGACCACTTTGGTGCGTATCGTTACAAAAGAACACACTCCTGTAAAAAGTTTTAGATAGTATTTCAGTGGCTATTAGGCATTCCAAACAAAAAAGCTGACGAAGGAAAGGGTTGGTATATCTAAGGGGTTGCGACATACGATTTATTCTGTCTACAACACGCGAAATCATGAATAATGGATTAAATTTAAATATTTTATTCTAAAAAACTGTACAAACACAATGAAAATGTAATTTTTAAAAAAACCTGTTATACATTTTTCTTAAATTGGCAGACTTAGCGACTACTATTTTGATGGAAGACTATGTCGCAACCCTTTTAGATATACCACCCCTGCTCTCTGGCAGCTATTGTTTGACAGCTCTTTGAAATGCCTACTATACAAGAGTTCATATATTCACTTATGTCAACAGATGTCCACTTCAAAATTTGACAGTTGTCAATTTTGATATAATTTTCATCATGGCTCGTTTTAGCAATATTTCGTGAATACAACTCTACAATCGAAAATGCCCGAAACTTGACGTATTGCCTATGTTTTAGGCAATACATATCGTATATTCGAGAGTTTTCATTTGTCTGATGATAATTCTACTCGCATGTGAAAACAGTTCTCATCATAATTCCAATGACAATAAGTAATCGAAAACAACCGTAAAGGGGCGTTCATTCTCTGGAAACGAAACGCAATTTTGGCAAACCAATTTTCGTCTCTTACGATCAATCGTGCACGCTATCGGTCATCTTACCCTCGGTCGTAGAGTTCGTTTCTAACTTCTTAAGCAACGCGTCCGCAACACTCAACGGCACCACGTCGAAACAGTTCGAATTATCGCTAAACGTATACTCACCGCTGTCCTGTTTGAATAACAGTCCTAAAACTATATTTAAAGCCGACGTGTCGTAGCTGTGACAGCCCGAATACCTGTATTGCGGTTTCTTGTCGAATTTGCAGCCCACCGATTGGGCTCCAATCGGGATGATGCAATCTTGCGTTAGAGCGCATTGTACCCACGGTAGCATCACGTTTTTGTGTATGGTCTCTGTGTTGACGATCAACAGTGCTTCCACTTTTACCTGCGAAATAATTCTTCTAAAGTGTGCGGAGTTGGTATATTTAAAATTTAAAAAAAATTAGTCAGCATTTAAGCCACCATCAGAACTACGTCAAGAGGAATATAAAACTTAGGAGTCAAAAATTGCACACATATTGCTTAAAAAAAGTTTAACCATACTAAAAATACTTAAGAAACTGAATTTTCCAAATTCCTCCATGTGCCAAATCATAGCAGAATTAACTATATTTTACAAAATTTAATTTTTCATTATAAATTCCTAAATGATTCAGAATTCAGAACTTTTTAGCAAGAATATATTTTTTTGTAAATTGTGAGATAGAACTTTCAACTTTGGTACCCTATAACTTCAAAACTTGTTGAAATTTTAAAATATGGCCTTTACAAATATGTTTCTTCAGTTTTTGTTAATATTTCTTCAACTTTTTAAGACTGTAGATTAATTAGTTTAAAAATAGTGATGAAATAATAACAACAATGTAAAATTGATAAAAAAAAACCAAATTTAACTTTGACACCCTATAACTTTAGTACCTGTTAAAATTTCAAAATGAAATCTACAAAATTATGTTTCTGCATTTTTCCAAAATGTTTTTTCAGATTTTAACGTCTATAGAGCAATTGTTTGGAAATTGTGTTGAAATAAAGACATCAATGTCAAATTGTAAAAAAGATCGAGTTCAACTTTGGCACCTTGTAACTTGAAAACCTGTTTAAATTTCGTAATGTGGATATGACAATTATATTTCTAAACTTTTTGAAAATATTTGATCAAATTTTGAAGTCTATAAATCAATTAGTTTGAAAATGGTGATGAAATAAAGGCAACAATGTCAAATTGTTAAAAAATCCATGTTCAACTTTGATACCTTGTAACTTCAAATCTTGTTTAAATTTCAACATGTAGGTTACAAAAATATGTTTCTACAATTTTTCTTAATATTTTTTTAAATTTTGAAGTCTGTCAATTAATTAGTTTGGAAATAGTGATGAAACAAAGGCAACAATGTCAAATTGTTAAAAACTCCAATTTCAACTTTGACACCCTGTAACTTCAAAACTTATATTTCTACATTATTTGTAAATATTTTATCAGCTTTTCAATTAATTTACCTAATGTGGGAATAAGCGAAATGGGTCTAAAGTTGAATGGATCTTCCTTACCACTTTTTTGTATGAGTATCACAACATTGGTTTTTAAGAAATTTAGAAAGCCATTATTAGTCAATGAAGTTAGTGTGGCCTTATAAATGATAAATAAAAATAATAGAACAAAATACTATTAAATTTTAATATAGAAATTTTGATAGGAATTAAAATATGTACTTAAGTTTTAATCATTGTACTTATTTTTAAGTGATTTTTAATATTTTTATAATATTGACATGCAGGGCCGACTAGAGGGGGGCAGCCGGGACTAATTCCCGGGGCCCGGTCTCAAATGGGGGCCCGACAGCGGTATAAGGTGGGCTCAGCAACCGGATTTTTGTTTTCTTTCTTCCAGAAGTTCGACACAAGACAAGAGGGGGAAGTTTGTGGTTGGGGACTTTTTTTTTTTTGCTTGAAGATCTTTTTTTTAGAAAATACAATTAAAGTAGAAGAGGAAAAATTTTTGTTTGAAGAGCTTTTTTTGTCACGGGGCCCGATCTAGAGAATTGTCCTGGGGCCCGACCTGGCTCTTGGCGGCCCTGTTGACATGGCTGCTGATGGATTACTATAACACAATATGTTACCTGATTTTTCAATGAAAATTTAGCCATACTAGTCATCAACTCAACATTTTGCAATATGCTATACTATTAGTTGTACAAAAATAGTACTTACCATTTCAAGAAAAAGAAAACTATCGGCGTCGGTGAGAAAATACTCAAACATCTTTTTGTGTGTCAAACTCGACACCGGGTTCTTCAAATTGAACGGCCACGCGAGAATTCCAGACTTTAACGCCCGTTCTTCGAACAGCCTTGGTATCACATTTTGAGACAGTCTATAATTCGACTCTAGGAAGAATATTGCGCCTGTGTGTTGAAGTGCGTCCTAAGATAATAAACAATATTATTAACAATTTTTTTTTTGCTAAATTTCAATAAATACCTGAATAATCAGCGGTCGAAATGCGTGAAGATATTCTACAAACACGTGTGGCGGAAACTGATCTAAATCGAAGTTGATGACTTGACATCTTGAATTGTTGCAAAAATTTGTGAGCTGCAATTATTAATAATAATAGTATTTATTTTAATAATCATTGGTGAAGTCCAGCATAGCTGTTCCACTCGACTGAGTACCAAACACAAGCATTTCATATAATAAAAATAAACATTGCTATTTAGATTTAATTTAATAGAAATTTTTATCAACTGCTCATAGTTATTACTTATCAGCATACATTTTATTTTATTTATATTGATTTTTAACAAATTATTGCAATATCATTTATAAACATTTTTCAGACTTTCATTAACCACTCTTACTAATTAAATGAAAGGGTAGAGAAGAAAAAGGAGCTTCAAATCTCAAAGGACCTTTTTCTTACACAACTTAAACACGACTACCCCAAGTTTGAACCCTCTAAGTTACCTGGATCTTTACAAAAAAATTATATAAGGGCAACATCAGTATGTTAATGAAACTTTGAAAAATGTTTATAAAATAATTTTATTAAAAATCAAATCAAACATGTGTTACTTCTGATATACCTAAAAGAGAAGCTTAATTATCACTTTAATGTGCAGTTATCCAACACAGAGCAGAAATACTTTTATATTGAAACTGTTATTAAGAGTACAACACAAAATGTACTATTTTTTAAAGGTCTAGATCTAATGCAGATTATTTAATTGATGAATATGTTTTCAGAAACAGTAACAAGGTTACCTTAGTTAATTTTAACTGTATTTGTACATATTAGCAAACTAGCTAAATAAAGAAAAAGGAAATAACAGAAAAGACCTTCCTTTTTCAATGACTGATAAACAACCTTTAATTATTTTTGTCTAATATCACCTTGTACTTTCAATGATAAAACTTATCTATGTTGATGATTTGTAACATGATTATGTAAACAATAGGAATACAAAAAAGATAACATTTACTTAACAAAGTTATTGTCAATACAATACAAAAGATATTTTGGGACACCCAAAATTAAATGTATAGACAATTTATAATCAAAATTACTATTTTATTTCACATTTACCTAAATCAAAAATAGAAAAATAAAAAAAAAAACAAAGAAATAATCAATAATGATTAAATATCAATCAAAACATGTTATTCTGCTTTAGAAAGATTAACATACCAATTTAAATCCTCGATCATCTAAACCTAAATTATAAATTAGAATTGTATTATTTGGTAGCATTTTTGCCATATTGATTATGAATCCAACGGCTTGACTCTCTTGACCATCTCTAACATAAGTAACAACCACTGGCAATGATGTATTTTTCCATACATCTTTTGGGTACAGTCTGGGCTCCTCTGTAAAGCCCAAAACATTTAAGTACTTCTCATCTGCGTTTAAAGTCTTTGTTTCAGCATCTCTTAAGTTCACCTGATAATAAATCGTTGAAAAGTTGTTATTTTATTATTATAAGACGCAAAACCTACCTTAAAATTTCTTATTTGTTCATTTGTTGTAGAGACAATATCATGAATGCTTTCCGGTTTGTCTTGACCGAATATAACGAAAATTAAGCTCAGAGATATAATTACACATATTGTTAATAAAAAGTTCTTCGTCCTCATTTGTGGAAGAGGATAAATTAATAATTCTTTGAATTAGCTGGAATTCCGTAGGTAGATACTTAACTAATTTGGACTCACATTTCTTTACGCTGATTGAATTTTATAGTTGATATATCAATTTATTAACGCAATATACAATATATATTTCATAATAATGCAAATATCTATTAAAAATTTTCAAACTCAAACAATTCAAACATTTTTTCACTTTATAAAAATAAAGTGTCAATGAATGACAACTGACACTGAGGACTGTCAAAATTAATGACAATCTTGACATTAAGGTGTGTTCTTCTATTCAATTCTTGTCGAGGGGTATTTGCACTGAAAATAAGAACGAACGATATTTTGCTGAGTAACTTGACGTTTGACATTGTTTTAAGATCTCATAAATTTTAGGAACACACGTATTATTTATAGGTCTTTTCCTTTGCATCGAAAGTGTAGCACTGAGCTACGTCACTTCTGAAAATATCGTTCCATCCATACAATTTGTATATATGGAACGACATTTTCAGAATTGGTGTAGCCCAGTGCTACACTTTCGATGCAAAGGAAAAGACCTTATTTATCGCAGTGGCCTTGCATTAATTAAACATTAGTTAATATAAATTTACATTTAAAAAGAAGAATAATTTTAGTAGGTTATATTTCAAAAGTTTCCCGCCAATTTGAAATGTAAACAGTGAATTTGAAATTTGTAAAATCATAGAAAATAAAAAATAGTTAAAATACCTAAATAAATAAACACATCATGGAAGATTCTAGTAATAAAAATTATCAATCTTTTATGATCACAATACTTAATATTCGTAATTTGCAGCTCAAGACAGAAGATCCAAAAGGGATACTTCTTATAAAGCAAAAGTAGTTGAAGAAAAAGAGCACGTAAAAGAAGTTTTATCAAGGTACAAAGATGAGAGGATTGTCGATGATGGTATGTAGATCTGTTGGATCTGTTAATTATTTAAGATAAATAATTTTAATAGTATACACAATCGACTTTTTTTAAAGGTCCTGAACCTAATTAACTTAATGTTAATGGGGTCTATTCTAATGGACTCATCCAGTGATTTTTAAAAATATTTTTATCCTATAATCTTGGCCCGCTATAACACAGTTGACCGGGTCCAACCTCTCTGCGACCTACCCTGTGGCTACAATTAAATGTTGAAATTTGAATTTCGGGGCTAAGGTGGATTGTGACGTGTACCAATAGAAACAGGCTTTATTTTGCAAGGTTGCCATATCGATAAAACTAGCAATATTCCTTGTCATTTATTATGTTTAAAAGAAGGATAGAAGTACCGATGGACGGTTCCGTTTACACCGAGTACGGAGTACAAAGACGAACGGTCTTTTCCTTTATCCATGCCAAAAATATTCACAGCGCAAAAAAAGAGAAGAAAAACTAGAAAAAGAAGAATATAAAATATAACCTTACATTTCAATCATTTAGTATTTCATAATTTTCATTGTGAATACTTATTGTATTATCAGTGGTTGCCTCTAATTCTATTGTATTTATTTTTGGAAAAGTGTTAAAGTGTATTTAAAAAGAAAATGAATCCAGGTTTTGTGAAAGCAGATTCCAGAAATTTACCACAAGTAGATGTGGAGATGGTGATGCAATTTTATTCATCGAATACTGAACACTATAGTGCCGAGATGAAAAATATTAAAACTGAGAGGTAACTAAACTACTCTACTGGTAAAAATAAAGATTTTTACGAATAACGGAATATTTTGAAACATTTTTTCTAACTAATTTTACGATAAAACTACTTATTATCATTACTATTTTAAATTTGGCTTTCATATTTGTTAACTAATAAAATATGTACATTTTAGAGCATCAAAAGAAAAGTATGGAGACAATGCAGTAAGTTATGTTCAGTTAAAAAGAGATGGCAACATATGTACCATTAGAGCCAAAATTACCCCTGAACACAAAATTCACAAGAAACCATATAATGTTGAAGTGAAAATTAATGAAGAGGATGAGAAAATTCTCAGTTCTGCATGTACTGACTGTGCAGCTTCCTCAGGTAATTATTAAAGTTAATTTACCTGGTATTTGGTAAGAGTAATAAATAACTGTTGTGTTAAACAAGATGAAACATTAAACTATAATATTTTGAATTTATGTATGTAAGTGATAGATATACTTCTACTTATTCAACGAAGACTGTAGTAAGTCAATTGAGAAAGTCAGTGTTTAATATTCATTTATTTAATTTTTGCTTTCTATGCTCCACCTAAACATTTTCGATCTAATAAATTAATAAAAAAACCAAAAAAGATTGACATCTGTGTGCACGTAGTTTAGATTCAAAAGGAAAGACTTGTATTTCATGCAAAACTTTTTAATTAATAAATGCAAAGCGCTTTCGGCATTGTGCCATCATTAGTGCTTATTGTCCACAAACATATCCACCAAGTTCTTAGTCATCCTCGCTCCCAAAATTAAATGAAATGAAATAAAAATGAATGTATAAAACAATTTAAATTTGAAAATATTGCTAATAGTAATAATTATGATTTAGCAATTTGTGAATATCCAGAAATATCTAATTTTGGGAGCGAGGATGACTAAGAACTTGGTGGATATGTTTGTGGACAATAAGCACTGATCATGGCACAATGCCAAAAGTGCTTTGCATTTATTAATTAAAAAGTTTTGCACCAAATACAAGTCTTTCCTTTTGAATAATAAATTAATATTTGACACTGATTTTCTCAATTTGAGCAAAATTGACTTTTATATTTAAAAATGAAATGCTTAATATTTTAGTTTTATTTTAATATAATTTTTAGGTGGGTGCAAACATTCAGTGGCATTTTTGTTTTGGCTCCATCGTCGTAGTGAAGAACCTAGTGTCACCTCAGTTGAATGCTATTGGAAAGCATCGAAATTATCCAAAGTAGGAACAGTTGAAAAGTTTCTATCTGCAAAGGATATGGCTAATGCAAAACCACTTTTAAAAGAAAAAAATTCAGAAGTTAGGGAACGCTTTATAAAATATATAGACAAAGCTTCAGGTGGAATTTTTGATTTTTATTATGAGTCTGAATTGTCAAAATTCAACATACATCATTTAATTATGAAGTATAAGAGTGAGCAAACTACATATTCAGCAGAAGATTTTTTTCAATTTGCCAGTGCTAATATGGGAGCTAATTGTGCAGTTGTCGAAGAACAGACAAAAGAACAGTCAAATTGTCCCAATTGGTACCATTTACGCTTTGGTCGAATAACTGCATCCAAAATTTATGAAGCTGCTAAATGTAAAACAAGAGAAGGAAGTCTTCTGGAAAATATAATGGGTGCAACAAAGGCTTTTGAAACCTATGCTGTTTCAAGAGGGAAACGATTGGAACCCTTAGTTTTAAAACAAGTTGAAATAGCAAAAAAAATTAATATTAAAAAAGTAGGCTTGCTTTTGTCCAATCGGTATCCGGTTTTAGGAGCATCCCCAGATGGCATAACTGAAGAATTTTGTGTGGAAGTGAAATGCCCAAGCAAAGAAAAAACTGTGGAAAACTACATAAAAAATAATGAAATAGTAAAAAAATATTATTATCAATTGCAAATGCAATGTTTTTTTTCTAATAAAGATAAAGGTCTCTTTTGTGTAGCTTCTCCAGATTTTGAAAATGACAAACTTGTAAATATATTTGAAATCTCATTAAATAAGGAAGAAATTGAAAATATAATAGACTTGGCTTTAACTTATTGGAGAGATAATGTTTTTAATTGTTTAATTAATTTATAATTTGTAATATTGAAGGTCAATAAAATATATAGGATATTTCGTACCTACACCGCCAAACTTTAAGATGTGGCAGAGAACATCAATTTGTTTTTTTGCTTTATAAACATAAGGTTTAAAAAATCACTTTTTAATCAATATGTTAAGTACGTTTTAACAGATTTGCAGTTTGCTGATATCTTAGTTATGTATCTTTGGACCTATTAGCATGTATCTAAAATTTCCGTAAATCTATAATTTTTTTCTGAAAAAGAACAACATCCTGCAAACTTTTTAAAATTTTTATTAAACAACTAAAAATATCAACTTGTTTGTCCCTTGATTTTTCCTGTCTCGGTTCCTTTTTAAGTTGTATTTTTAGCTACTTGGGAGACATTCAAAAGTTGGTGTTTTTTTTTTTAACTAAATGAGAATAATATCAAGACACAAAAAAGTGTTACTTTTAATGGCCTTATTCAAAACAATGATAAAAATATCAATGTGTCGTTGTTTTTGTGTAAAATTCCCTTTTTCGAAAATGAAGCGTTTTAGTAAAATGATTATTTAGAAAAAAAAAATTTTTGATGTTTCATACCACCCCTTAATGTTTGGCAGTATAGTTATGAAACGCCCTGTATAATAAAACAAAAATAAACTTGTATTATTTTATTAATGGTCCTTGAGTATTTACAATAGCACATACAATTATAATTATTTCATCTATTATACTAAGATAATTTAAATCTAATCTAGAATGAATATCTACCATTTTAAATTCTCTAATTCTTTTGATAATGCGTTCTATATGAATTCGAAGTGCTGCTATTTGTTTGGCCCTCCTCACCTCTGTTGGCGTCAACTTAGTGCCTTCTGAGACACTTGGTGGTCTAACTAACTTACAATTCGTTCTATTTAATAGTTCGTCAATATTTTTAAAACCCCTATCAGCCATGATGTCACAATTTTCAATTTTATTTACAAAACCACTGACATTAACCAAATTGGTATCTGTTATACGACCACCATACCCTTTAGATATGAAATTTATAAAACCATTTGGTGTGCCACTTATTAAATATTTAATGGTGTTACATTTCTTGTATTCTGACCATGATTGACTTTGGTGAATAGGGTTAGATGGTTTTTGAATTTCTATCTCAAAGCAATCTATAATGAATTTAACATTACTATACCTATATATCTTGTAGATCAAAATTTTACTTGGAAAGAACATATTACCTATGTCACAAGCAAAATAAGGAAATTAATATATAAATTTTATGAGTTACGCCATGTCTTGAGTTTTAGCACATTAAAGATGGTGTATTATGCACTGGCTGAATCAATTTTGAATTATGGGTTGGTGGTTTGGGGTAGTGCCGGAGTGACGGTTTTAAACAAACTACAGGTTGCACAAAAATATATCATAAAAATTATGTTATTTAAAAATAAAAGGTTTCCTACTGAATTGCTTTTCAAAGAG